GTCTTTTGATTGCTAAATTTAGTTCATTTATATTTGAAGTAATTATCAATAGCTATGTACTTATTTCCATTTTGTTGTTTTCTGGCTGGTTTTGAAGTTCTTCTTTGTCCTTTTTTTCCCTCTTTCTCTCTTCCCTAGTTGTTTGTTGGCTTCCTTTAGTGTTATGTTTAGATCCTTTCTTATTTTCTTTTATGTATTTAGTATAAGTTTTTCTTTGTGGTTACTGTGAGGTTCACATGTAGCATCCTATGTATATTAACAGTCTCTTTTAAATTGATAGCAACTTAAATTTGAACACATTCCAAAGCTTTACATTTTTATCCCCCATATTTTATATTTTTGATGACACATTTTATGTCTTTTTATTTTATGTGTCCTTTAGCCAATTATTGTAATTTTAATTAATTTTACTACATTTTGACCTTCATACTTTTTGACCTTCAGACTTGCCTTATCAGTGATTGATCTACTACTTTTACTATCTATTTACCTTTTCCAGTGAGATTATTACTTTCATATATTGTCTTCTTATTAATGATTGTCTTTTCTTTTCAGTGTAGAAAAATCCCTTTAACATTTCTTATAAGGTCAGTTTAGAGGTGATGGACTCCTTTAGCTTTTGCTTCTCTGGAAAACTCTTAATCTCTCCTTCAATTCTGAATGATAATCTTGCTGGGTAGGGAATTCTTATTGGAAAATTTTAACTTCCAGCACTTTGAATATGTCATGACCCTTTCTTCCAGCCTGTAAAATTTCTGCTGAAAAATCTGATAGCCTTATGGGGTTTCCCTTGTATGGAATAAATTGTTTTTCTCTAGCTATTTTAAGGTTCTCTCTTTATTCTTAACTTGTACCATTTTAATTATAATGTGCCTTGGTGTGGTTTTCTTTGGGTTCATCTTATTTGGAGTTCTCTGAGCTTCCTGAACCCAAATGTCTGTTTTCGTCCCCTGATAAGGGAAGTTTTCAGTTACTATTTCTTTGAATAATTTTTCTGGCCCTTTCTCTCTCATCTCCTTCTAGGACCTCTATAATGCCAGTATTATACCATTTGATGTTGTCCTAAAGGTCCCTTTAGGTATCCTTATTTTTAAAAATTCTTTCTCATTTTGTTGCTCTGTCTGGTTGAGATTCATTGCTTTGTTTTCCAGCCCACTGATTTGGGCTTCTTCTTCATCCATTCTGCTGTTGAACCCCTCTAGTGTATTTTTCATTTCAGTTATAACTTCTGTTTGGTATTTTTTTCTATTTTCTATCTCTTTGTTGAAGTTCTCACTGTGTTCATCCGTATTTCTCCTGTGTTCAGTGAACATCTTTATGACCATTACTTTGAACTCTTTATTGAGTAGGTTGCTATCTTCATTTCATTAAAATCTTTTTCTGGGAATTTGTCCGGTTCTTTGGTTTGGAATATAGTCCTCTTTCTCTTCATTTTGCCTGACTCTCTGTGTGTATGTATCAGGCAAAACTGCTACCTCTCCCAGTCTTGAAGGAGTGATCTTATGTAGGAGATGATCTATGGGGTCCAGAGTGCAGTCTCCCCTGGCCTCCAGAGCCAGGCACCCATCTTGTGGGTGGGACATCTCTTGTGTGGACTGTGTGCACCTGCTGGCTGTGGTGGGGCCACAGCTGTGGTGCAGGGTAGGTGGGATATGGGGCACTCACCCAGCCTGGTTGTGGTGTGACTGCTACTGGGGTAGGTGGAGCATGTAACATGCACACCGGTGCTAGCAGACATGAGGGAGAACACCAAAAATGGTGCTTCAAGTTCTGTCACCAGCAAGTTAGAATGAGATTGCAAAAATGACACCTGCCAGTGCTTCTGTCCTTAGAGAAAGTCACTGCAGGTTCCTCCCTCTCTGGCAGCTGCTTTAAGATTAGTAAGCACGTTTGCCTCACTTATGATCTAGGCACTTTCCAAACTTGCTTTTATGCTGGATCTCAGGGCAAGTGGGTTTGTGTGTGAGCCCTTTAAGAACAGGTTCTCCATTCCCTACAGTTTTATGGTTCCCCTGGACTTCATTCCCTGGACTTTTCAAAATGAGGCATTTTAGGGGCTTCTCTTTCAGGTGCTGGACTCAAAGATCAAGGTGCTTGATGGGGGGCACACTCCTTTCACTTCTTGAGGGAAAGTTCCATATTTTGGGAATTCCTTCCCAATTGTGGGTCATCATGCTTGGGGTGGGGTCCCGGGCAAGGCTGAGTTTCTACCTCTTCTACCTGCTTGATATGTCTCTTTTATCTTTGTTGTGGAGGCACTGTTCATCTACTTCTCAGATCCTTTTCAGAGGATCTGATTTCTTATGTAGCTATAAATTTACTATAGCCATGGGAGGAAGTAATTTCAGAGTGTTCTTATGCTGCCATCTTGAACCCCTCCTCCATGTTTTCTCTTACTAGCCTTCATATTATACCATAGGAGGTGGAAAATAATGTATTTCATAATGGGCAGGATTAATCTGATAATTTCTTTAAATTTTAAACTCAATCTTTGGACAATACATACCAAGCTATATGGGCATTAAATGAAGAGGAGACTGTAAATCTTTTACTGTGCATCATGAACCTATCTTCAAAAAGCCCATGAATCCCCTAAGTTACAGTTATTAATGTATGACACTCTCACTTAAATTTATTTTTTATGAAAGTTGAAGTAAAATACTGTGCTGGTTACTTATGTATGAAATTCTATGATTGTAGACTGAAAATAGTCAACTTAAAGATATTCCAGAAAAAGAGATCGAAATCTCAGGAAGTTGGTATCTATTTTGGCTTCCATATAGACTTATTGGAATGCCAGTTGACATTTAAACTTTCTTCCTCTATGAAGTAGTTGTAACTTGCAGTCCTGAATATGAGATGAAACAATGAGATTGGGTTTTTCAGGAGAGAGGAAAGGATTCTATTGACACTCACTGACTTCTCACAGCAACTCATTCTCTATTTAGCATATATAAATATCACTTAGTAAGTAGGAAACAACAATTAAAAATGAGTAGAATGACAGGAATTAGACTGATGTCTGCCTTTACATTCCAACAGTACCAGTCCCCGTGGTCAGCATGAATATTTATGATGTTAGCCCTACCACCATGCATGTGCAATGGCAGCCAGTGGGAGGGGCTACTGGCTACACCTTGTCATACGAACCCATCAATGCCACCGAACCAAGAAAACCCAAAGAGGTGGGAGATATTCGTTTCTTTATCATTAGGTCTTTCTGAGACTTTATAGTTTTTGAGTCCGCATTAAACTGCATATGCATATGAATGCATTTATAACTTTATATGCAAAACAGAAGAATAGAAATTAGACTTGGGGCCTGTGACACATTTTAAGAAACATTGGCATGAAGAAGTAAATTCATTTCAGAGAGATGAAAAAGAAAAGTTGTGTTATCATCTAGCGGTTACAAATAGGTTGTAATGGGCTATCCCCAGTAAGTGGAAACATTTGATTTGAATGTCTTATCTCCCTTTGGCATGTCCATATGCAGATGCGTGTGGGGCCGACAGTGAATGACGTGCCACTGACTGATCTTTTTCCCAACACCGAGTATGCAGTCACAGTCCAGGCTGCTTTGCACGACCTCACTAGCGAACCTGTTACTGCTCGGGAAGTCACGTGTAAGATATTGCCAGCATTCCTTCTTTCCTTATTGCTGTAAACATAATGTTCATTAGGATTTTTCTTTCCCCCAATGGTGCTATCGATAATTTGATAATTTATGCATAAGTCATAGGGTTATTTATTCTTTATGGCAATCAAACTTGAGAATTAAAATTAACTCTGGACTTATGACAGCATCTTAAATTGACCCTAGGATGTCCTTCTTTTTCACATTAAACACAGCTGATACTGAGATGTTTCTTACAATTGATGGTGCACTTTTGGCCAAGTGTCAGGGCATGGAGCATAAAATGATGGTACATCTTAAAGTTGATACTGTTGTAGATCCATGAAGTTGGGTAGATAGCACTGGTGAGAAGGGAATGTTGGGTGAGTGTAATTTTGGAGGAAGATATACTAGACTTAAGATTAAGATGTTCCAAGTTCTTGCTGAAGTAGGTACTTTATGGCACATATGGAAAAGTCTGTTTCAATTAAGTGAGTTAATCAGTTGACTCAATCCAAAAACGTATTGATCATCTGTTATACTCCAGTCACTATGCTAGATATTGGGAATGTACCACTAGGTAATACCAGGCGGCGCAGAGCATGTGGACTCCTTTGTGGTTTGCACTTCTCTTGTGTTTGTTGATCAGTCCCTTTTGTGTTTTTGGTTTGTTTCACTGGCATTTAGGTGCTTTTTCTTGAGGCGTGATAAGGATTGCACTTAGGACCCTTGCCTTTCCTGGCTGGACATTTTGTTTTATGCTTGTTGACGTCATGATGAGATAGATGACTTGGCTTAAATTTGAGGCTCAGCCCACATTTCTAAGGAAATTAAGAAGATGAAAGAAATCTTCAAGGGAGAAGGGGGACTGAGAAGCTTGATAAGGCAGAAAAGAGAAAGAGCCTCTGAAGGGTGGGACAGTATAAATTCATTGACTAGAAAGAATCAATTTTTATATAATAGACCCTGGTGGTTTTGTAGAAATGGGGTAGTGGCAGATGGAAAGAGTGGGAAGCCAGCTAGGGATGGAGACATGTATTCTCAAAGTGCTGGGAGAGAAGATCCAAAAGTCATAGTGGGATGAAAGGCAAGTGAGGTCATGGGTTTGATATGGAGTTGACTGCACCAGTGGAGGAAGGGAGGCCACAGAGAGATGCCGAGAGACAAAAACATTGAAGGGACAAAGGTGCAGAATCATGGAAGTGGAGGGAGACATTCAGGAGGAGAGATGTATGTACAGAGTTGAAATGAGAGACAAAAGGAAATTGGTCAACGGGCAGCTAGAAAGTGAGATCTGTCTCATATAACAAAAGAAAATTTCTTTGTTAGTTATCCTCATCTCTACTCTTTTTAAGGTAAGGCTTTGACTTGGCAAAAATTTATCAATTGGATTTTCTTGTAACAATTTAGGTCCCTGTGGATTTTCTTATAAGCTTATCGGGTGCTTAATTTTGGCCTGTCTTCATTCTTCACTCTCATAACCATTTGTTTTTCTATCATTTTCTATTCTTAAGAGAGCATAAGTCTTTTGATTTTGTTTTCTATCTTAACTGATTTAAATATCTGAGAAAGAAACATGAGCTTTTGTGGTGGTACATTTGTGGTGAATCATGATTTACTCTAGCTGAGCAGTAAGTAAGAGCTTATGAAAATAGAGTAGAAGTTTACATTAAAAAGAGAAATTAGAATTGCAATAACAATTTCAGCTTATCTTATTAAAACACAATCCTTCTTAAAAGGATTTGAGCTCTACCTGGTAGGATCATAGTACTTTTATCATCAGAGCTATTTGTTTGAAGTTATTTTGCTGCACACAGTTTAATTTTCTCTAAACAACTCCTTGAAAGCTTGTGTGACTGCTTTAGAGCTGTGTGGTTGAGAGCCACCTGTGGACCTCATTTCTGATGCATCTCCAGTGCCTTTACCCAAACCTCGAGATCTGAGGCTCAGAGATGTGGCTCATAGCACCATGAATGTCTTATGGGAACCCGCGCCTGGAAAAGTCCGTAAATATATCGTCCGCTACAAAACACCAGAAGACGATGTCAAAGAGGTAGGTTGAAGATTAGAATGGATTTGGAAATATTCGTTTTCCTAGTAGGTTTAACAACAGAACCCAAACAAGTACAGAGGATAGCATGTTTTGAATATTTGTCACTTTATTAAATAGTGTTGAAAGCTTGTTATAGTGGTAGAGCAATTTTTGAATATCGATAATATATTGGATTGTGTTGTATTTATTTTAGAAATGTTTTCTTCTGTGATGCTACTCTCAAAATCATCATCCCTTAGTAGACAAAGAGTCATAGAATGTAGATGGTACTTCCTTCTCATCCAGATATCTTTTATGGTGCTCTGCATTCTGTGAATTACTAAAAAATATCATATGATAATGTGTCTAAAAATAAAAGCCAGTTAGGGGTGCAGGAAAGAAGAGGGGAGTTTGGGGGCGCCTGGGTGGCTCAGTCGTTAAGCGTCTGCCTTTGACTCAGGTCGTGATCCCGGGGTCCTGGGATCGAGCCCCGCATCCGGCTCCCTGCTCGGCGGGAAGCCTGCTTCTCCCTCTCCTGCTCCCCCTGCTTGTGTTCCTGCTCTCTCTGTGTCTCTCTCTGTCAAATAAATAAAATCTTTAAAAAAAAAAAAAAAAAAGAAGAGGGGAGTTTGTCAGATAATAGGAAGATAGGACAGTGGAGCAGGACTAGAGAAAGGGTAAATAAATAGATTCTTACAGGAGTGTCCCTTTGGCCATGAGCATTTTTGAGATGATGTTGGGGCAGATACCTGTTTCCATGACAACCTAATTCAAAGTGGGAGCAAATTGAGGGCTTTCACTAGAGAATGGGTTTAAAACTTATGTGTGCTTGGGGGCATATTAATGTCAGAATCTCAGCGACATTTTTGGAAGATAGAAATAGTTCCTGTAAGCCCCTAGTTAGTGACTGTGCTGGTCAGTTGGATTACACCAAAGCTAATTTATACATATGCGTGCATTCATTTCATTCTAGGTTTCAATTTCAAAAGAGGCACAGTGACCAGTGGGTCTCACAGGGCTCTTGTGCACAGCAAATGAGATAATGCACAGGAGAACATTTCTGAGAGAAATAAGGCAGTGATACAAAGGGAAACAGAGAAACTGCTGGTGAAAAATGATTAGGTTGTTTGAATCTGTAGACGGTCATTATTTACTGAACCCTAGCATTCAGATAGAGCTCTAGGACATACATTTTCCCACTTTGGAAGCATTTAAACTGTCTCCAGGTCTGGACTCTTATGCATATTGGAAAACATTGCTATTTTTTGTAGTACAATTCTTATGCTCTTGTGCTAAGAGGTACAGTGAACAGCAGAAATGTTAAAACTAGACCCTTCCTAAAATTGTTCCACTGCTCTATTACAGGTAGAGGTAGACAGGTCACGGACCAGCACCCCTCTCAAAGACCTCATCTCACAAACCCTGTACACAGTAGATGTTTCCGCAGTGTATGACGAGGGGGAGTCTCCCCCAGTGACTGCTCAGGAAACTACCCGTAAGTTGTGATCATGCTTCACTGATAATTAAGAAATGACATCACGTGACTGTGTAACTGAACTTATTGGGTCATTTTGTTGCTTGGTGCTATTATTTTTGAGTATTTAATATTTGAATTCACAGATTGCTTTTCACTTATTTTCTTCCCATCTTCCACCTTCATGTCCATTCTTTTTATTTATTTATTCATTTTTATTTTTCAATTAAGTTTTTAAATTTTAATTTAATTTTATTTTAATTTCACTATAGTTAACATATGGCGTTACATTAGTTTTCGGTATACAATATGGTGATTCAACATGTCCATTCCTTTTATGATAATTTTTATCCTCCTATTATTCTATCAACCACTGTCATTAATTCATCTTCCAGATACTTAACTGGTGTATGTATGTGTGTGTTTTGCGTGTGGGGGTGTGCACATGCATGTGGGTGAGGGGAGCAATGGGGAGGAAGTATATTCTTGATGCATGTTGGACATTTTCTCTGGGAAAGTTGTGTTAGTGATCAAAGATTTTTTGCGATCTTACTGGAGGTAAAGTGCTATCAGGGGTAACAAAATACAAGTATCTTTGCCCTTACTAGTTCATGATTTCATTGTGGAGATAAGAAAAATTAATTGACAACACATGGGATGATGTAGGGAAGGCAAGGTAAGTGGCGCTCAGATTGCACGCTGTTGGATGTCAGGTGAAGGGGAGGCTTGGACAGTGGAGAGGCAGGGGAGATGCAGGGCAGCCCACCTAGGCTCCTCTTCACCTGCTCTATTTTGTTGCTGCTTCCAGAGATGTCTCTTTCTTTCCCTATCAGGGTACTTCCATAGTATTTAACCCAATTATGATTGCCTGTTGGTTTTTTCCTATCTATTCTGCTTTCGCCTTCCTCCCCCCGCCAGTGAAGGCAGAGACACTGCCTACTTTGTACAACTTTGCATCTCCAGTGCCTGGCACTGTGCTCAGCACATAATTTCTTACTCGAATAGTGGTTAAGAACTTGAGGTCTAGAGCCCACAGTGCTCTGAAGAAATATAATGAGAGTTACTTACATAATTCAAAATTTTCTAGTAACCACATTTGAAGAAGTAAAAAGAGGGGAAACTAATTTTGATAATGTATTATATTCAACCCAATATATCAAAAATATTATCATTTCAACATGTATCAGTAGAATAATTATTAAGTTATTTCACATAATTTTTTTCCATAATAATTCTTTGAAATCCAGTGTGCGTTAATTTTACACTTACAGCATATCTCAGTTTGGACTAGCCACATTTCAAGTACTCAGTGGCTGTATATGGCTAGTGACTCTGATAGTAGACAGCACAGGTCTAGAGAATTTAAATGACTTGCCCTGCTTCATCTGGTAAGCTACTGGTGGGATCAGTCCAAACCTGGAACTTTTACTTCCTTGTCCTGTAACTACCTCACTAGAGCCTCAAAAGCTTCTCCTTTCATACCGAGCTGTCTATACATGATCGGGCCTCTTATCAAATGGCACAGCTTCCTCCTTAACATCAGACCGTATCTACGTCTGCTTCTTTCTTGCCACGTGATCCCTCTTAGCAATCTCACTTGCCTTCTTGGCGTCGGTTCTTACCTGGTAAGGGCAGTGTCTGGACATGAAAACTGGTACATATGAGTAGCCTGATAGCTTTGCACAAGCATAACAGGTGTAGTAGAGAAAAAAAAAGTCAGGAAAAAAGACTAGTGATTGCAGGTAATTTAATATACTAAATCAATACTTTCAATATGTGTTTTTTAATCCTTAAGATTTCCTAATAACTTTCAGTATAGCCAAAGGGCATCCTTAACAATGGTTTGTTTTCAGTTGTGCTTATGGAAGTGGTACCACTCATTTTATCTCAATGAGCCTTTTCATTGTCATTATTAGAAATACATTTTTGATGGCCCTGGATTTTGTGTAGTCGGCTTTGGTCAGTAGTGTGTAGAGAAATAATTGATGATGAAAGTTCAGAACTGAGGGCAGACCTTCCAGATTCTTTGTGCTGTGAACTAACTAGAGTGCCGGGTAATGGAGGGGCATTTAACTGGGGTTTCAGTAGTCATCTGCACTGTAGGGTTATTCCCATCTCTGGACATGGTCAGTACAGTCTGTTTCACTTGGGTTTAACATTAGGAAAACCTCATGCATGGATTACTTAGATCATAATATTTCATAGACCATGATAGCCCATGCACTCTCTGATAATTAATACCAATGTTTGTGCTTATGTGTACTGCTGTGTGATCAAGTCCATGGTTGTGACATGTAGATGTTCAGCTTTCAAATATGACATTGAAAAAAAATGTGTGCGATGCAGAATGATTAACTGGGTTAACTGGGTTAGAAGAGTCTTACTAAGAGGTACATTTTTTTTTAAAATCCATTTTAATGGAATACAAATAGTAACCTATTATATCCATATGGTGTTTGAAATTTTCGGAGCTTTCTCTTATACTTCCCTTTCAGATGAACTGAATTGGTAAGATACTTGGTTCTAAACAATGTTTTCAGCCTGTTTCCTCATGTCCATGAAAATAAAACAAGGTGGTTTTATTATATTGTTTGTTCAGAAACTTAGTCCTGCTTTATCTCATGATAGGCACTGTGCCAGCCCCAACAAACCTAAGGATTACCGAAGTAACACCAGAGAGCTTCCGAGGGACTTGGGATCATGGAGCTTCAGATGTGTCCCTCTACAGGATAACCTGGGCACCTTTTGGAAGCTCTGATAAGATGGAGGTAAAGTTAATTCTCTTCCCTCCCTCCTTCCTTCCTCCCTCCCTCCCTCCCACTATTCCTTTCTCCCTTTTTTCTTCCTTTTCCTTCCTTCCTTCCTTCCTTCCTTCCTTCCTTCCTTCCTTCCTTCCTTCCTTCCTTCCTTCCTTCCTACTTTCCTTCCTTCCCTTCTTTCCCTTTTCAAAAAACATCTTATTTCATGACAAGGAATCTTGTTTGAAATACGTATTACCCCTGTTGCCTGAAAAGCCTCCTTTCCTATTAGTGACATTTGAACTCCTGGCATGCATCAAAGGTGGAAGAACATCTGACTAAATAATGTCAACAAACTGTCATTGAGAGTATGAGAGACATGGTGACTTAATTTTGTGTTTTTTTTTTTTTTTCTCTTTCACTAAGACCATCTTAAATGGAGATGAAAATACTTTGGTGTTTGAAAACCTGAACCCAAACACTCTCTATGAAGTCTCTGTTACTGCCATTTACCCCGATGAGTCAGAAAGCGATGACCTGACCGGCAGTGAGCGCACACGTAGGTGTTCAGCTTTCAAGTAGGACATTGTTATTTTAAAGTTAATTAAGGTAATAGAGCTATAGCTATATTAGTAATATTTCCCCAAATTCTGTTTTTTTTTATGTTAGCACGTTTGATACCCTTAACAACACAAGGTAAGAGTTTAATTTGCTGAGCTGTATGAATGATCAAATCATGAATGAATGAATGAATGAATGAACAAGTGAATGAATGGAAAATACCACAAAATCCATCGTAAATAGGTTTTCTGCTTTTAAATTGGAAGGCATTGATTGGAACCTTTTTTAAAAACCTTTCTTGAAAAACGTTTCTTTACTGTCATTTGTTAAGGAGTCATTTAAGATTCCATGACAATCATTTATCATGAGGTCAAATTTAATCTTTTTTTTTATTATGTTATGTTAATCACTGTACATTACATCATTAGTTTTTGATGTAGTGTTCCATGATTCATTGTTTGCGTATAACACCCAGTGCTCCACCTAAAAGTATACTGATTTTCTTGTGAATGGTGCTTATTTTGGGAGGAGGCCTCATTCTATGAGCTTACTCTGTTTCTCAACAATCTTTTTTCAGCTCCAAAAAGTGGCCCACGAAACCTTCAGGTGTACAACGCAACCTCTAACAGCTTGACTGTTAAGTGGGATCCTGCCAGTGGTCGTGTGCAGAAATACAGAATCACTTACCAGCCTTCAACAGGAGAAGGCAATGAGCAAACGGTAATTTTTTTGAAAAAAAAAATAGTAACTTGGACAAATTCTACCTCTTCTCCTCAAACTCCTTCCCCCCGCCACCCCACCGCAAATGTGTAGTTAGTCATACTACTTTGAGAGATGCAAAATTTACCGTAATGAATGGAGTTATTTGACTCAATTCCTGATGGGAACTCAGTGGACATTCTCATGGGGGATGAAAGTTGCTTTTCATTGTAGGTGGCCCCACAGCATCAGGCATGTACTTCATGCATAGACATTTCCCTTAAAAACTGTTAGGGTGGATTATCTATGAAGATTTCTAGGTTTTTTTGGTCTTTAGATTTTTAATCTGTATCTCTCTAACTTAATCAAATACTTAAAGTTTGCCAAATTTCTGTTATTGTAATTTTCCAGTTTTTGCATATCACAAGGTATCTCTTATATCTGGAGTTTCCAGATCTAGATCTGTTTATCATTTTTATATTTATCCAAATGGAGGTTTCTGAGAAAGATGGTATGACTGTCAATAGCCTTCATCTTCTTTATCTTTCTGATCTTCCCTTGTTTAACAGAGTCCTAGTCCATTTACCTTGCTTACGTTAGTTGTCTGTTTTTGAACCTTCTCCAGATTGGCTTTGTGAAATGTATGACTAGAACTGCACATATATGATCATAGGTCAGGAAACATCATGATTTTTTATGCCGGGGGGGATGCCTCCTGGTTTATTTCAAATGCCTCTTTTGGTAAGGCCTAGTATTTTGTTGACATTCTTTGGTCTATAGTATTTCCTCACATGGTCTTAGAGAGAGAGATGAGTTATTATCAGTTAGTCACCTGACTTGCGGAGCTCCAGCAAATGGGTTCTACATCTTCCCAGTTTAGAGATGTTAGCAAGGGTGGATGCTGGCAGTGGTTAAAGGTTTCTGATATTGCATATTAAGTGAGCTTAGCTGAACCAGAAACTCTCCCATCCTCAGTGTAACTTTTGAGTTGATCTTTTGAGGTTTCCATACAATTGGTCTTAGGTAGTATTTTTGGATAGAAATTTTGTCTAATTAAATAGGTTACCAATAATAAACTAAATACCAACTGTAGTTAACTGGCTTTTGTAGGAAATAAGATAAGACACATTGGATGAACTGATATTTTCATGTCAGAAACAGAACTTCTGTTTCCTATGCCAGGCCAGATTTAGGTAAAACTATAAAGCAGGGGGGGCTTGTCTTCAGCATTTCCCTGCTTGGTGATAGCAACTCTCCAACTGCTGTCCTTAGTCTCCTTACTGTCTCGCAGAGGCTTGTTACAACTTGAAGGAGTCTCATAAACTCATTCTCTGGAAAGTATTAGCTGATAATCCCTCGAGGTTTGTTATTCTTAGGGATATTTGCCTTTTACTGCTAGTCCATGAAATAAAGTAATGAATCACTGATACTAGAATCATTTTGGAGATTTGGACAGGAGAAGTAGGTAGACAACTTACTCATAGGGCTAGTTCTACTAAGTGGACGCCTTCAGATTTGTTAAATATCAAATGGCTTGTACGGATGTTGATACTTTTCTCTCATAACATCAAATATTCAATTTAGTAAAATTAGCCACTGTTGTTCAATTTGCCTCATATTGAGGATAAGTGCAGTGTTTCACTGAGGTTTTCTCTGGAACTCAAAGAGTTGATGGGTGGTAAGTTGGAAACATCTGGACTGTTACTAGCGCATCCAGCCTTCCAGATGTGCACTCTTTGTGGGCAGCGGGCCATTTTCATACGATTTTAATTAGTATCACATAAGTATTTGAATTCGGTAGACTGTTAACAAATCATACCAATTTTCTCTCAACAAGATAGCTAGATGGCCTTAAGCACTGAATAAAAAATTCCAAACTCTGTAATTGAAGGAAATTGAAAAGCTTCATACCGCTAGGCTGGTATCACAGAGATGGCTGGGAACCACGGCCTGAGTGTGGTCTGGCCAAGGGTCCATCACATAGTTTGCACAGCTAATGCTGTTAGAATGGCAGTTTTGTGGGGGGAAACATCAAAGTTTTAGATCTTCTGCTGAATGATTTTAATGTGTTTTCTAAAGCAAATAAAAAAAAACCCTGTACAAAAGTAAAAATAGTAGCAAACGGTGTGGAGCCTCTAATATTTGGCAGTTCTTTGCTATCTTAGAGCTCCTTTCCAGCTCACTCATGATTAATGCCTTTTGGGGGAAGAGATCTGTGAAATGTGTTTTGGATGAAATTTTGCTGTGCTGGTGGCGAGCAAGTTGGAATATCTTTTTGAGGTCACCAGTTTAAGGCTTAGAGTGCCTTTTATGATTTAAGGTGCATATTTTACATTTAAAATGATACCATAACTATCTATGGTGAGCACTGTGAATTGTGTAAGACTGATGAATCACAGACCTGTACCCCTGAAACAAGTAATACGTTATATGTTAATAAAAAAATTTTAAAAAATGATACCATAAGATATACTTTAAACCTTCAGTGTGGTATGTGTTTCCAGATTTTGGCCAGGGTCTCAAACAGCTCCCTTGCAGAAAGAGCTTTCTCTAACAGATCAGTGAGACGGAGAGAACAAAGCTAACACTTAGCCCTGTTTTGCTCCAGACCACAATCGGAGGGCGGCAGAACAGCGTGGTCCTGCAGAAACTGAAGCCTGATACTCCTTACACCATCACTGTGTCCTCCCTCTATCCTGATGGTGAAGGAGGTCGGATGACGGGAAGAGGCAAGACCAGTAAGTACCAGACTCCTATAGCTTCTTTAATAACTACCACAGAATCCCATCTTTACCTGGAAACAGTGGGGTGACTCGGTTTTGCTAATCAAATTTTAATGCATTTTTAAAAATGACATTAATTGCTTTTAATATCCTTGCTTGGAGTTACCGGTCTCTGTTTATGGAGAAAGACATTTATTACTTTCTAGGATTAAAAAACAACAAACTAAAACAAAAAACCACCCTGGGACAAAAATATCTTGTGGAGAGGAGACATATGTACCAGATTACCACAGACTTTCTTTTATTTATTCACTACTTCAACAAATATTTGTAGGGGCCCCACTGTGGGGTCCCTGCCATGTTCAAGGTGCCTTGGAAATATCAAGGTACCTGCATTTCAAGTGTGCTTGGTGGTTAGGATCATAGTGTCATGTGATTTCTGTGCATTGCAGAACCTCTGAATACTGTGAGGAACCTCAGAGTGTATGACCCTTCTACCAGCACCTTGAATGTTCGCTGGGACCATGCGGAGGGAAACCCTCGTCAGTACAAGCTCTTCTATGCACCAACAGCAGGTGGTCCAGAGGAACTGGTAATTATGTCCTGGAGTGAAAATTACATGTTTATTTAAACTATAGCTGAATGCTTTAAAAGCTGAGCTAAAAATGTTAACTGATTTGCTTTAGGGTTGAAGAAGTTCGTATTCATTTACTAGAACTTGACAGAGGGTAATAGATTGTTGCCTTAGTGCCAGGGTGATGGGGAAGAGGGGGGGATTGAGCTGGGGGAGGTAATTATTTCTGGAAGTTCTAAAGGGGGATCCTAGAGTGAGTTTAGGGGTCTAGAGAAGTCTTTATAACCTCTTGTAACAGTTCATATGGGGTGCACCTTATATCCCAATATTACAGAACTTGCTTCTTGACTTGGTCTTGAGTTAGTATTTTGCGTATTACATTGTTTGAGGAATTATTTCTTTTACAAGTTTTTCAAATCAAGTGCTTTACGTTTATTAAAATGTTTAGGTACCAATCCCTGGGAATACCAATTACGCCATTCTTAGGAATCTGCAGCCAGATACCCCATACACCATTACAGTAGTTCCTGTTTATACTGAAGGTGATGGAGGACGCACATCAGATACTGGAAGGACATGTAAGTTGAGAAGGAAGAAAAATTTAGCTTTTTCATTATAAATTTTGCTTTTCATTATAAAGGCCACATAGGCCCACTAAGAAAATTTTGAAAATTCTGAATGATAAAATAAATATATACCAATTACCCATGATTTATCTTCCAAACACCACCAACTGTTAACACTTCAATGTATGAAATAACACATTTATTATGGTGTTTTTCTACTGAAATGATACTATCAGGATTTATGAATGTGCATACGATCATCAGTCTGCTATTTCAGTCATTCTCTTTCACTGACGAAAGTTCATTTTGCTTTGCTTTGTGCTTTATACATTTGTGTGAAGCAGTGCTTTGTAATTGGCTTTGAGAGTGTGAATTGTTTATCACATTACTTGATGCACATTTCTCTGGTTTGCTCATGAAGTGCTTTTGGTCATCGAAATTCTGTGTGCTTTCGTTTGCTGTTAACATCTTGAGAAACCAGTTTATAGCAGTTTTACTGTTCTTCATAATAGTGCTTACAGGCTTTTGTGCATACTAATAAATAATTTCTTTGGCTTTAAAAATATACTTGCTGATGGCTAAAAGGAAGCAAGTATGGGTGGCTTCTTTTGGTAAGAGATTAGTGCTCTAGAAAGATGATGTTGTTGACTCAAGTAGACTTTGGGGTTAATACATGGATTTAATTTGTATGTTTTTCTAAGTCCCACTTGGGGCAGTTAATTGAGAACTGAATGTATGTTCTATTTTTCCCTACTTTTGCCTTTTATTTTTTAAAAAAATTTTAAAAAAGATTTTATTTTATTTATTTATTTGAGAGAGAGTGAGAGAGAGCACAAGAGGGGGTAGGGTCAGAGGGAGAAGCAGACTCCCCGCTGAACAGGGAGCCCGATGTGGGACTCGATCCCCGGACTCCGGGATCATGACCTGAGCCGAAGGCAGTTGCTTAACCAACTGAGCCACCCAGGTGCCCTTGCCTTTTCTTTTAATCACAGAACACATCAGTAGCTATTTCTTGAATGAAGAAGGAATGAATGAAAGAATGAATAATTGAAGCCAGCGGACTGAATTAGATGGGCTTCATAGCTGTTGTCAGTTTGTACTTAGAAGGCAGACACTACAATTCCTTTTCTCTATCTCTCCATTATCTGTGTTGTAAAACCAAAGCTTCTTTTCCAGATTCTTGTCCCTTATTCCTTGTCCTTTTATGGCCAGTCCAGTACTACTACTTTTACTAGCTTGTTTTTATCGGCAACAACTTTGCTTCCATATTGACAAAGGCCATAATTGGCTAACTTCGACTAAATTTGGATGTGGAGGGTTTTAATCTGCTTTTGTGGGTAGATAATTAGAAATGGAAGGAGGACAGTGTTTTATCCTGTTACAGAGCGTAAGTCCTAGAGAAGTGATCATGAAAGCTCAACATATATAAACAGACTTCAGCATAGATGTGTCGGCTTTTCTTTCCTCAGTGGTGAGAGGGCTGGCAAGGAATGTCCACGTGTACAATCCGATGCCAAATAGCCTCGATGTCCGCTGGGACTCCGCGCCCGGGCCCGTGCAACAGTATCGCATCGTGTATTCTCCTGTGGCTGGCACGAGACCCTCGGAATCTGTAAGTATTTTGTCCTCTATGAGTTCATTCCAAGAATTGTGTAGATTCCCTGTGCCTCCTGCCATGGCTGCTGGGCCAGAACAGTAAGTCAGCTGTTGGTGTGGCCCCCAGTCTCATGGAAATGTCCTTTCCTGATGAACATAGCCTTGTGTTTGTGCCTTGTTTGCTGGCCTGTGAGAATGCCAACCACAAACATGATAATGAATATGCTTAGATGGTTGCTCCTAATGATTCAAGACAAGTGTACTAACTACAGGGTTAGTTGGCAAAAATGAATTTTGGGAAAATACAAATTAGCTATACGACTTAAAAAGCCCAGTAGTAAATGCAAATCATTGATAGACCTTGTCGATATGGGCTTTTGTTGTAACATAGAAATGTCTCTGTTATGAAAATCTTTTTTTTTAAAAGATTTTATTTATTTATTTGAGAGAGAGAGACAGAGATAGTGACAGAGAGAGAGAGAGAGAGAGAGCGCACAAGCAACGGGGAGAGGAAGAAGCAGGCTCCCCACTGAGCAGGGAGCCCGATGCGGGGCTCGATCCCAGGACCCTGGGATTATGACCTAAGTCGAAGGCAGATGCTTAACCCACTGAGCCACCCAGGTGCCCCATGTTATGAAAATATCTTAATGTTTGCCTTCACTGGCTCTTACAAATTGTCCAGTTTATTTTCTGTTCCCAGTACTATTCAGTTTTATAAGTAGATTGACAATGTAAGAATCAGAAACTACTAATTTGAATAAGAGTAGTCTCAGAACACCTAAGGGAAAGTAAATCAATAGACTAATTTATGTCTTTATAAATATGGACAATGGTGGTGAACAAAGAAAAACAAATGATTTGCCTGTCCCTGTGTATGGTAGGACAACATTGCCCTTATCCATTTGTGGAGTGGCTCTCTATTTTAACACCAAATCTCTTCCCTACTAGCGTGTGTGGGGGACCCCTTCTCTTATGTGTGTCTAACATTCGGGATGCTCTGTAGGTAACTACCATGAGTCCCGGATGTTGTATTTGGGAATCTTCACAATAAACATAAATGAGAGATGATTGAAGCTAGTAAGGGTAGCTCAGTATGTTTATTAGCTTAGTGAGTGTGAACTCACTTTTTTTTGGGAGGGGGAATTTCTGAGGAGAAATTGTATCTCACGGTGTGGCTTTGTCGGATCTCACGAGGAAGTATAGTAGTTAGCTTCTGATGTGCCTAGGCTCAGCTTTTTATTATAAATGTTACTATGTTGACTAATAGAAGACCTGATAAGCATTTGAGTTGCTGTCAAGCAGAATTTGGCATTTCCTCCCCTCCAGATTGTGGTGCCAGGAAACACGCACACGGTTCACCTGGAGCGGCTGATTCCCGACACACCCTATTCTGTGAACATTATAGCTCTCTACTCGGATGGAGAGGGGAATCCCAGCCCTGGCCAGGGCCGAACGCGTGAGGCAGAAATCCTTTCTCCACCCCATTCCCTTGTAACTCGGTTGGCAGGGCTTCTCTGAGTGAGTGAGAAGAGGGAGGCGGGTGGTGAGAGAGAGGTGGTGAGAGCTTTCTCCACCTCTGCACAGGTGAGGGTAGGCCTGGGCAGGCCGTTCTGCCTGGGCATCCCCACATTCAAATTCCAGGCTGAGGCTCTGGGCCCGTGACAGCCGTCGGGGCTGAGTGAACTGCTGTGGGCCATTTTCTCATCTGGGACTTAAGTTAAGGAGAGGCTTTTCTCTTCTGCCCTGCAGTGAGTCTTGTCACCAAGCAGGCACTTTAGAAATGTGAGGGCTCCGCCTCTATGTTTCATTAAACAGGAGGTGGTTATAGTAGTTTAAGATAATCCCTTGCTCTCCCAGTCTCTATATTTAAGCTCAAACCTAGCTCAATGTCACTGAAAGTTCAGCATGTAACCGTAGCTCTGAAATGTAGCACTTTCTGTTGTTTATGGTTTCACATTAAAACCAGAGGAGGTCTATATTTTATCATAAGGGAGTAAACATCCTAATGAGTGTGAAACTCCCACAAATGACTTCCTTAATCTGACCCGGGTAAAACTCTTTTATACCCCTCCCGCCACCCCCATGTCCACTGTGCTCACAGGCAGGCAACTAACTTGATTGTATTTTTATTTATTTAGTACCACGAAGTGGACCAAGAAATATGAGAGTCTTTGGGGAGACAACCAATAGCCTCTCTGTGTCCTGGGATCATGCCGATGGGCCAGTTCAGCAATACAGGATCATTTATTCTCCCACTGTTGGAGATCCCATTGATGAATATGTGAGTTCACTTCTCACTTAGTTGAGCATTTTGTAAACTCTTACCTGGTTGGAAGGTGAAATTAAGCTTTTTTCTTTGGGAGTGTACTGTGATTACAGTTGAGTAATTGTGTGACAGTCATGTTTTATATGACTTCCTCTGACATGATATTGGGAACACTCAAATGCGTCTAATGTGGCCTCCCACATTACAGAGAATCAATGTCTTTGGGCCCATTTCTGTTCTAAAGCCAGATCGGAAAATTGTCTTATTGCATGAAATGCATATTTCTAGCCACCAAATTTTATTCATGGAACTGGGTCTAGTGAGACATGATACCTAATATTCTGAGCTACTTAATGTTCAAAAGATGTGACCATCCAAATCTTATCCTTTCTTTAAATCTCATTTCTCTACAAGATACCACTTAAGTATTCAAGTGCTAACTGATGTCTCTTTTCTTTAAATTTAACATTTTTCATTACACTTTGGTTTTGGAATATACATACTCTCATATTAGTTTCAAACTTTTTGTGTGTCACACTCTCTCTCTCGAACCAGATTTAGGTTTCTTGGAGCTTCCTCATTGCCCTCACCAGGCATATCCGTTTGCTATGGATGGAAAAACTCACCACTCTTTAAAAAGTGTACTGATTGATAGAAGTCATAGGTCAGGAGAAAATTACACAAAATACTGATAATAAAGCGGTTAGGTCTGTGGTTTGCAACCATTTTGCCACAGACCCTCTTGGATCATTCCACCTTTGTTCTCCCCATGTTATGTTTCATCTCTTTGAACTTGATATGTTAAGCTTTAATTCAAACCTGCATTTTTATTCATCAGAAACACATGTAACTGTCATTTAGAGTTTCTGATCAAAATGAGATAAACAGTATTACCACACTTAGTTTGCCAAAGCATAGAAGCTGGTGCTTTAGCGTTTATTCAGCATTGCCACGGACGAGTACTTGATTTCTCCCCACTTTCTGAAAACATTAAAATATAATCCCCCCCAGTTCACTCTTTGTAACCAGGGGACTCTGTGCTGCGAATCACTGGCGTAAGCGAGGCACGTTGTTTGTAGAAGTAAAGCATAGTGTTGGAAGAGAGATTGAGAGATTTATCTGGTTTGCATCCTCTTCATGGAGGTAGTTGAATGTATTTTCCATTTCCTGTTTTTCATCTTTTCCACCTAATTAGTATCAGCCGAGCTGATACTCCTGAGGGCAGGCTCAGAGCGCATGTGTGCTCACCAATGCATTCCCAGCGGCGATCACCGCGCCCGGCCCACAGTGGCTGCATGGTGCATACTTGTTGCAGGCATGCATGAAAATGTAACACACAGATGGGAGATGGAGACAAACGTAGGGCTGCTGTGTGCTGCAGTAGTCAGTAGTATGCACCGAGGTGTCACGGGTGGTCTTACCTTTCCTCCTCACAACTTCCTCCAGAGACAGGAAGTCACAAGGCTGGTAAATGGCTGATCTGGGATTCGAGCTCAGATCTCTCTGACCCTCAAACCATTCTTGCATGCTGCACAGAAACAGTGTAGACCTTGACATGAGCATTGTGTAACAGAAGCAAAACATGAAGAAACCGTTGCTGTTTATAGAAATAAAACGGTGTTGTCTTTTGATCTGGAAGGCCTCTGGCTGATAATTAATTTGTAATTTAACTTCCCTACAGACCACAGTCCCAGGCAGAAGGAATAATGTGATGCTGCAGCCGCTGCAACCTGATACTCCATATAAAATTACTGTTATTGCTGTTTATGAAGATGGAGATGGTGGCCATCTAACAGGAAATGGAAGAACTGGTAAATGTCTTATCCCTTTTATAATCTTTAAGTTTTGCCTTTACCAATGCATCCCAAATACTACATAATGCTGCATTAACATTTACATTAAACATGGAATTTTGGCAAAAATGATATGGGAGCAGAATTTTATGTTAACTTTTTAGAAGTCCACTAAAAGAAGAAAAAGGAGACAAAAATCTGCATCTTCTGCTTTGTTGAGATAGTTTTGTTTCTGCTTTGGAAAACCATCGCATATTTTCTGAATAATGTTTTAGTTTGTGTGGGATCAGTGAAGGAGGTAGCTGTTAACTCAGTCAATGTAGTATCAGCAAAAACACTATCCTGATAGAATCTTAAGTCATAAAGAAGCAAGATGATTATCAATCATCTTTTGTCTTTACAATTTTTTTCTATTGTACCAAGTAATTTACAGAAAATTATTTGCATTCGGGCCCCTTTCTAACTTACATAGGAATCAATTTCTTTTCTTTTTTTTTTTTTTAAAGATTTTATTTATTCATTTGACAGAGAGAGACACAGCGAGAGAGGGAACACAAGCAGGGGGAGTGGGAGAGGGAGAAGCAGGCTTTCCGCGGAGCGGAGAGCCTGACGCGGGGCTCAATCCGAGGACCCTGGGATCATGACCTGAGCCGAAGGCAGATGCTTAAGGACTGAGCCATTCAGGCGCCCACAGGAATCAATTTCTTACTTTTAGAGCAAAGGTTCTCCAGATTGGTTGCTTGTTGGAATCACCTGAGGAGTTTTAAAACATGCTTGTGCCTGGGTACCACCCCCAGAGATACTAATGGATTTGGTCTGAGGTGTGGCCTGGATCTGCTTATGTTCTAGTGTACAGCCAAGATTGAAAGTCACTGGTTCAGCATAAAGGCAGGCTGGGCTATAGGTCTGAGTTCTGTTACTGGTCAACATGGGCATTCCTCTTTCCACTTCATTCTGCAAAAATCCACTTAAGTAACTGATTTCAGGTGCCTTGCTACATTCGGTTGCCCCAACTCTTTTGGTGCTTAAACAATCTTGACATTACAGAATTTGGGAGAGGTAACATTTGAAAGCTCCCAAGGGAAAAGCATGACTAGAGTTGTTTTAGCTTAGTCTCTCAAGGCCAGGAAATTTATATATTTATTGATGCTTATTGTCTACAGAACTGAGTCAATGGAGACTCAGTTTAGTGATTCAAGATGATTTAAATTGAACAACCTTTCATTTTTCACATTCCCTTTGGTTTTAGAATATATTTTGGTACTTTTCTGGGGGAAATGGCATGTTTTAGAATTTTGTGCTTTTCAAAATACATAAAAAAATCTTTACCAGACTTGAATTTTCCAGGATGTGCCAAAGCCGTTTCTAGTTTCTCTTGCAAAAAAAGTTTTTAACTTGAATTCTCTATTTGTGTAATGAGATAAATAATAACTCAGGGATGACTCAGCATGCTGCCTGACAGCATTGGTTTACAGGGTATGTAGTTGGAGGCAGTAAGTACCTCTGGAGGCTTGAGGATTTGCTCTAGGTTATGCTGGGGGAGGATAGGAGGGTGCTGGGAATGAACATCATTTTAGTCACTAGCTAGCTGTGTGGTCTTGGGCAAATCAAATCTTATTTATGTGATAAGTTGGTTGGACTAGACAGTTTCTAAATTGTTTTTTGGCTCTAACAATCTGTGATCTATAACATGTTAAAAATGGTATGAGATCTCTTGTAGTTTCTGTAATTCTACATTATATAACCTAACAGCTCTGGGACACATCAGTTGCTGAGTCCATTTGAGTGCTGTTTGAATTTGGACAACTACTAAACTTTCTGTTGAACATTGCAAAACTTTTAGATTGTTTTCTGGATGAGGGCATTATAGGATTTTATTAAATTATTCCCATGGGACCACACTATCAGTACTCATATTCAGTACTCATAAAGTTCTATGCCCTCCTTGTGTGTCAATGAAAGGTCAGTAATGTGTGCCAATATTTGCTTGCAGTGGGACTGCTTCCACCACAAAACATACACATCTCTGATGAATGGTACACGAGATTCAGGGTATCCTGGGATCCTTCACCCTCTCCGGTTCTTGGATATAAAATTGTGTATAAACCAATGGGTAAGGAAGAACATTTATTATCATAAAAATGCATCAGAAAGCTGTTTGTTATGAGGGAGTTCATTAGATTCTCTTGATAGTTCAGTTGTCACATCCCCTCCCACTAGAGGCAATAAATTTTTGGAAATAATGTTCTAAGCCAATAGTCTGAAGTGTCATTGTTACTATGAGTGTAGATGAGACTCTCATTAAATTGCATGATTAAAAACTTTGGCCTGGTTCATAAAATTACACAAATGGAATCTGTGTCCAGACATTCTATAAGTTATTATGATTGTGAAATAATGCATTTTTAATCAATATAAACTCATATATTTTCCATTATGTCAAGGTGTTATTCCATTTGGGACATATGCATTTTAGTTTATTCTTGCTGGGCTTGCTTTCAACTTCCCATTGACATGTGCACCTAAATGGATATCATCTTGATTAACTGATTTGCTATCTTTATTCCTGTTCTGTCTGTATGCTTAGCAAAATGGAAGAAAAATACTCTTCATCCCAATTTTGCCAGGGTCTCTTCCACACCCCAGAAAGGGTGTGAGCTAGGAAAAGATTAAGGAGAGAGGAAAAGATTAAGGAGAGAGGACAAGAGAAAGGAAACGTGGGCCTTAAGAGAGATAACTGAAAGGAGGAGGAAGTGTTGGTAACTGAGGACCTTTAGTAACCAAACTTGTGGGACGAGGACCAAGACAGAAGTTCTTAAATCATCTCTACAACAAATTGGAAAAATGTTAATTGAGCACCTACTATATGCAAAGCTCTATGCTGCCAAAGTGGGGCTTAGAGAAGAGGCTTCAGGATTTAGAGTAGTTGACTGTGTGATTGAATTTATTCATTAAAGGAACATTGATGACATATCTACTACGTTCTAGGTACTGTGTTATGTATGCTTTGAGAATAAGGTGAAGAATTGAGTCTCTGCTTATAGTTTTGTATTCACTATATAATGGAACGTGTGTTACAGTGAGCAAGTGCATGATGGGCTGTGGAATTAATGGTATTCATACTATCATTTGAGTATAAGTTATTTGATTTTAAGGAAAATATGAGACTGGGGTGGAATATTTCTTTGTCTTTTTGTGATTGTTATTAAAGGTTCCAATGAGCCCATGGAAGTTTTTGTTGGAGAAATGACATCATACACGTTGCACAATCTCAATCCTAGCACTACTTATGATGTGAATGTTTACGCTCAGTATGATTCTGGACTCAGTGTCCCTCTGACGGATCAAGGCACTACCTGTGAGTCATGTATCTTTTTTGTGGTTGTAAGAAAAATGTAGTACAAATTGCAAGGTCAGCCTGTTTTAATTTTATTTCTTCTTAACATATGCATGTTTCCTCAGCATTAAGTGGCTCTTTCTTGTCCAGCCAAACAAATATATAAGGAATATAACTGAGTATACAAAGATGTATGTGATGAGATATTTTTACTTCTCATAAGATATATTTTGAATTTTAAAAGATAAAAAGTATAGAAATTATGATTTTATCCACGAATTATCTCTAAAATGAGATTTGGAATGCTATGTACTTTTTTGACATACGATGTTTAAAAATATATTACCTAAATGCATTGATTTAATTGAAAGTTTTCACAGAAATGCTGTGATTACTGACTCAGCCCAAAGATAGATTTTGTTGTCAACAAGTACTGAATAACTATTTAAAGACTTAGGAGATAGCCCTTTAGAAAAATTTCTTATTATTTTACATGAGACGATATGTAGTGTCCAGTGGGACTATGTGGAATTTCTTTCTATTGAAAATTAGTGATAGAAAGAGAGGTCTGATTTAGCTGTACCACATTTTCATGTATGTTTCATGTAAGTTTCTTACAGGGAGACATACTAAGAATTTAGGCTTTTTTTTTTTTTCAGCCACAGAAGTTTTAAAATTGTGTTATGATTAAAAGTATGCTTTTTTGTCTTTATTTGCAAAGTAAATCTATTTCTTTTTTTATTTTGTAGTGTATTTAAATGTGACAGATCTGAAAACTTACCAGGTTGGGTGGGATACATTCTGTGTTAGATGGTCACCTCACCGGGCAGCCACCTCCTACAGGCTAAAATTAAGCCCCGCAGATGGTACGTGTGCCAAAAAAATAAAAAATTAAAAAAATAATAATAAAGAACTGGAGCACATAGTAGCGACATTTTAAACTTCAGTAAAGGAGTGAAAGAGATGAAATGATATATAAAAATGTCTTTAAATATAGTTGATGGTGATACTGGTATTTCCTTTTGTCATAATCAGGAACCAGAGGACAAGAAATCACAGTGCGTGGATCAGAAACCAGTTACTGCTTCACTGGTCTTTCACCAGACGCTGATTATGGTGTCACTGTTTTTGTGCAGACACCAAATCTCGAGGGACCGGGAGTCTCTGTCAAAGAACATACCAGTAAGTTTTTGAGTAATCTGAAAATCTCTGTATGGCTTCAGATTAGAACGTTCTAGGTGAGGGAGACTTATGCGACTCCCGTGTAGGCACTTCTTCCTATGGACCACAGTAATTATAATGATGGCAGATTCATGAAGAAGGAATCTGTAGCTGGTTCAGGACCTTTCTCTATAACAAATCCATGTTTTCCCTGTTACAGAGTTGCTGTTATTTTAAGGAAAAGGCTACAGGAGGGAGATAAGGTTCTAGCTGGCAGTGAGAAGGTGAATATGCACCCGTAGTAGTGACTTTTACTCACTGACCCTATTCGAAGGTCTTTCATGAGTCCTTTGAGTCGTGGCTTTGCTTTCCACAGCTGTAGTCAGCGTTCGAATGACTACAGATGACACCACATTTGGATAAAATAGAATTTCCAGTCTATCAGTGCCAATGAGACTTGATTTGCTATCTAGGACTTAAATTGCTCATAAAATGGACTTCCTGTGGTATGAAATTTGCACAGGTTCTGTTCTTCTAATTACTCTTTTTTAATTCTAGCTGTAAAACCAACAGAAGCCCCTACGGAGCCACCCACACCTCCTCCCCCTCCGACAATTCCACCGGCCCGGGATGGTAAGTGGCGGTACATTCAGCTGGTAGGGATTTAGAGCCTTCTTATTTATGTAGCCTATACGTGATTTCCAATTGATATAGGGTATTTCTGATCTACTATTCCTGCTGAAGAATTTTTAGATTAAAAAAAAAGATTATCAGTAATTGTTCTTCACCCCCCGCTCATTTTGGTGTGTATGAAATCAGTCATGAACTATAGTGCTTCAGTTGGAACTCTGTTTCCTCGATTTTGCGGATTAATGTCTAGTGATACTTTGCATAGTCCATGGTCACATGATGGACATTCTTTCTCCTGGCTGCCGGCATCAGTAGGCGCTGTGAATGGTTTTGGCTGTATCTTCAACCTACCCCTGGGGCCTTTGGCTTTGGAATTCCTGGCTTCTGCCCTGGATTGCACAAAGCTAAAAAATGTTCATTCACTGAAGTTTGAGACATAATTGTCACTTGCAGTGAACTGGCAAAAGACATGCTGAGCTAATAGGACTGGTCTCTCAGTAATTTGGGGCAATTCTCAGTGTTTTATCAGATTAAGTTTAAGCTAATTAACTACTGGTTTATTCTTTTTCCCACATTCTGTTTCCAGCATTTAATTGAAAGAGCTTCAGATTTTAAAAACATTTTTCTTTTGTCTTAGAAGGTTCTAGAATGCTACAACTTTATTAAACCTATTAAATAAATAAAATTAAAAATTAAGAGTGTATTCTTATAGGATAAAATAATATTATACAGGGCAAATAGCGTTATTATAAGGTAAAATAATAATGGGTTTCTTTAAATTAGACTGGCTCCCCGGGCGTCAACATCCAGCACCAGAGTGGTGCATTTGTTACAATCCATGAGTCTACATTGGCACATCATTTTCATCCACAGTCCACAGTTTACATTAGGATTCACTGCTGGTGCTGTATATTCTACATGTTAGGTTTTTATATACTAAAATTTTAATTTTTTTTAACCCTCCAAGTCTGAAAATTCAAATCAAAGACATTGTTTTATTCCTTCCCTTTCTTCCCTCCCTATAATTCTAGTGGCCTAATTTAAAATGAAAAGACACCTTATTTGCACCAAATCTTCGCTAATTATACACAAAATCTCTATACCCACTGATGGCTATTCTTAAATTCTGGACATCATTGCTTTTCATTTGATTTCCTCCTCTTCTATTGTTTGAAGCCACTTGAACAGTTCCATGAGGAAAGAACATATATTTGCATAATGGATCTAAACAGATGGAGTAATTCCAGAGCAGAAATTGAGGGCCAGTTAGACTAGTGCTTCTCAAACTTCATTGTGCATGTGATTTGTCTGGGTATCTTCTTGTTGTTAATCGGATCCAGGAGGCCTGGGGTAGGGCCAAGGATTCTGCATTTCTAAGAAGCTCCCAGGAGATGCTGCTGCTGCTGAACTACACCTTGAGTAGTGGGGTTTTAGGCTACATTTCTTGGTTTTGTAACTTCATTTGAATGAAAAAATTCATGAGATTTGGGGTTTCTCTGTTTTTTTTTTTCCCCAGTATGCAAAGGGGCCAAGGCAGATATTGTATTCTTGACTGATGCCTCCTGGAGTATCGGGGATGATAATTTTAACAAAGTTGTAAAATTCATCTTCAATACTGTGGGAGCCTTTGATGAAATCAGTCCTGCTGGAATTCAGGTGGGTACTGTTTCATTGGTGGCTATTCATTTGTAATGTCTTGCTGTTTCGTTGGATATTTGTTTGTAAGTAGAAAGGCTTTTCAGTATAAACTATGTTCTAACTTTTGTTATTTACTATTTTCTTGACACATGAATTTTTGGGAAGGAGTTGGGTATAAATGGCAAATAGAAAAATAAACCCTCCTCTAGGTATTCTCTTGGCTAGATGATTCTCCTTTTGAAGAGTTTAGGGCATTCCTATTCTGACTTCCTGCTTAAGACTTCCGATGATGATACATTTCCATAAAAGGTCATCTAATGTTCTGGAAATTAAATGCATTATGATTGTCATACCCAGTTAAGTTAGAGGACTCAGTGATGAATAGTGACTGGAGTGGGTGTGCGGCATTTCGTACTTGGTCATTGTGGCATCTTAGATTATGAAAATAAGAGATTTTGACATAAGCCACAAATAATTTCATAAACAAATCACTTCTTCTTTTATGGAATATACTAAATTTCAAATCCCCAAATAATCCTGGGAACATTTTTCCAACCCAAGAAGAGTAAAAATTCAAGCTAGTTATAGTCTTAATTTAATGGATTAGCAACCATGCCATCTTTTTCATCCTTTTAGAAATTGAGATTTCTAGTAAAGAGTAAAAAAATAAGTACTGTATTTTATTAACTTCTATGTACCAGCTACTATCTATACATGATTATCAGTCCTTAAAACAACTCTAGAAAGTAAGTATAATTGTCTCCATTTTACTGATATGGAAACAAAAGCCCAGAGATGCAGAGAACTTGCCCTGTGTCACATGGCTACCAATTGGCAGAACCAGGATTTGAATTCTGATTATGAAGCCTGTACTCTGTCCAGTTAATCATACTGTTACTACACTTGCAGTGAGTGCTGATTATTATCACATAGGCAACATTTTAGTATTACCATGAGGAGTGGATGCAGTTAACGAGAAGAAGCAGTTGGCTGAGAACCAATTGCTTCGCTGACATTTGAGCTCAAGATGGTGTGTTCTCATTTCTAATCCTGGGACCTCACTCTTCCCTAGCTTTGCCCATCCCTTCCTACATCCTAGAGAAAGGTTGTGGATACCATGTGAATACAGCATATTTACAATGTTAATATTATCGACAATTTCATCGAAGAGTAAAAATGAGAGAATTTAATGAGACAATAGTATCAGTGTTATAACATTAGCTATAAAGAGCTTATAATATTCTGTCAGATCTAAGACACTGACACCAGGAGGGGCCACTGGAAAATTAAAATATAAGAAGAGGCATCTTAACCCCATCACCGACCACATTTCCTTTCAGGTCTCATTTGTGCAGTACAGTGACGAGGTCAAGTCTGAGTTCAAGCTGAACACGTACAATGACAAGGCCCAAGCCCTGGGGGCCCTCCAGAATATTAGGTACCGGGGAGGCAACACAAGGACAGGTACAGTTAATCGAAGTGTACGTAGACCTTCACTCTCCAAAGTGTGGGGAGTGGTAGAACCGAGTGTGTGATCACATTTCATTATTCAGATTCCTATCAGTTGAGTGTGACTAATGGCACTTGGATAGTTTTCACAGAACTGACACTAAAATGTTCCATGCCACACTCTCTAGGCAAGGCTCTCACATTTATCAAGGAGAAGGTCTTGACCTGGGAGAGCGGCATGAGGAAGAATGTCCCCAAGGTGCTGGTTGTGGTCACAGACGGTCGGTCACAGGATGAGGTCAAGAAGGCGGCTTTGGTCATCCAGCAGTCAGGTAAGCACGGGCAGTTTGATGCCTAGTGATTGCACTCATTATCTTCACATGTTCTACATGTTGAGGAATGATTGCAAAAGATGAAACTGCTGCTTTTACTTTATTGTTCCTGCTTTACTCTGGACTCCGTACCCTTGAAATGTTGGTTTATATTTAATCATGGATGGTTTAGTAATTGCTTCAAAAGGACATGGTATATATCTTCGTTGAAGATGTGACTCGGGGTGTATAAAAGAGCAAATCTACCTTCCCCGTAGTGGCTGGAAGGCTACAGAATGCAGTAAGAGAATGCTCCTAGAATAGGCTTCATGCCACAGCGGACATGAATTTTGGTGCTGGGTTCCCATGCAAGGAGAAGCATAGGGAAGCCTTTAGCTTTAGCACGTCCTTGCAGATGCAGACCCGATGCAGATTGCTGAAAAGAGGTGTAGTGAGGCCTCAGGAAGACATCTTTGGGGTCGACCTTGAAAAATCAAATACCCTGAGAGCCTCCTGGCAACACTGCCCATTGCATTCATTTTTTAGGATTACTAGAGATGAAATGAGGTCTTACCAGTACTTGCATTCATACCCTCCACACCCCCGATTCCCAAACCCCAGGCAGAGTCCAAGGTTAACATATTTTGGAGAGAATTCTATTTTGTGCATGACCTATTGTAGTAAATTACAAAACAATTTGTTATATGGAATTTGTCATCTGGACATACAGGATTCTTTGGCTAAAAGTATGAGTCATGATTAGTGCTAAGGCATACTGTCTTCTTTCAATACAGATTGTTCTTTGCACTGACTTTTTTTTTTTTAATAAATTTTTGCCTTTATGTTACACACTTTAAGAAGATATCCACGTATTTTGGGCTTTTGGCTGATTTAAGTTTGGGGTTATGAATACTTGCTCAAGTTACCTTATTCATATCTTGTTAGAGAACTAATTTCTTATATAGTCTATTTTTTCTACTTTCAAATTAAGCTTTTGGAGTGAAGTCTTTGTTTATTTGTATTAGCCTAAATAAATGAAAGTTTATTGCCAGTGGGAATTGTCAATTCCATTTCGCAAGTGGCTAGAGTGCTGCCTTTGAGCCTGAGTTTGTTGAGAATATCAGTTTCAAGAACTCAAATTTTAAAATGAGCCCATTCTTGGGGCACCTGGGTGGCTCAGTCAGTTAAGCATCTGCCTTCGGCTCAGGTCATGATCCCGGAGTCCCAGGATCAGGCCCCGCATCAGGCTTCCTGATCGGCAGGAAGCCTGCTTCTCCCTCTCCCACTCCCCCTTGCTTGTGTTCCCTCTCTCGCTGTCTCTCTCTCTCTCTGTTAAATAAATAAATAAAATCTTTAAAGAAATAAAATAAAATAATATGAGCCCATTCTTGGTTTCTGAATTACATAAGCTTAGAATGTTAACGGTGCCTAAGAGAGCTGTAGAATAGATGGGTATATTAGGACTGGGGGTCTCTGGAAGGAAACGTGCACCACAATAAGACTTGCTGCTGTTAAAATGTGCTTCTCTTAATTGTTAGGATTTTATTTTAGGAAACCCAATTAGTTGAGTTTTCTAAGCCAGAAAATAGGAAGACCTGGAAAAAGTACCTGTTTATTAAAGAGAGTTTATGTCAATTAAAAGGACTTGCTGCATCTATTGAGAAAATCCAGCATCATTTCTGAAAAAATTTTATTTTGAATTGCTGAAACAACAAAGGACAGAAAAAGGGATCTGTAATTCACTCTATAAACACTGCTTTGCAGGGTTCAGTGTCTTTGTAGTTGGCGTGGCTGACGTTGACTACAACGAGCTTGCCAACATCGCCAGCAAACCAAGCGAACGGCACGTGTTCATTGTTGATGACTTTGAATCTTTTGAGAAGATTGAGGACAACCTCATTACATTTGTCTGTGAAACTGCCACTTCAAGTAAGTCCTGGTCCAAATGGATCCACAATCTCACCACTTTTGGAAGATAACAACTTAGTGGACAACTGTCTGTCCTATATGGGATCAAGTCTGTGCATAAATAGATCCCGGGGAAATCACTTGGGAATCTGATGAATCATTGTTCCTATTGAGATTGTGCTAAATGTGTGTTTGTCAGAGGTCCGCTTTTAGCCCTGACGATGTAATATTCCTTGTATGGAAATGAAATGTTTTAACATATCCTTTTCCCACCATCCCAATGCTATGACATTTGAGTAAATTAATCTTCAGCTTAGAAACGCATTTCTGTAAGATGAAGGTTTTCCCTATTAGTAATCAATTGGTATTTGTTCTGTAAACATCCGTGCTTCAAGGGAGCAATGAAAACACTGACGTTTGCATGTGCACTCCATAGAAATGCACTTGGTTCTCATTTGTTTTTTTGGGTGTAGAGTTTTTATTTTTTGCCAAGACTTCAAGTTCAGTTTTTAAAATACAGTGAAGGACCAAAGATTAATTATTTAAGTCAATTTATCCTCTTCCCCGTCTATAAGTGCTGATTCTTGGGATATTATATTATGGAGACAGTTTTGTGGCTAGTATAGACCCCTAGTCCTAGGAAGGGCTATACTTTACAAGTGTTATATTTCCCCCTATTAAGCATTACTAAAAACTCAGAACTCCAGGTCAAGGTGGCAGTAGTCAACAAATGGCCGTGGTTTACTGTGAGAGCTTACGCTGAAGCTCGGAATGGAGCTGCGCTGGGGAAGTGGGTCTGGATGTACTGTTGTCTCCCTTGTACTGCAGGGGGTCCTGAAAGCCATCCCCTGGTAACCCTGGCTCTGGGGGTTCAGGGTGAAAACTATGGCACACTTGTCACTGTTAGGTGATGTTTGGTGGCCAACATGAGGCTTGGCGGCGTGTCAAAGATGGCTGAATAGGGGCAAACTCCTCCTGCCTTTGCATACATTTAAAATCCCCTGGGAGAAAGCTTCTTTCATCTACTGAGGAACATCTGAAAATTTAATTCTTTTTACTTCTATTTTAACTTATTGCATTCTCTATTAAAATCCTTTCATTCTGTTTTACTATTCATAAGAACACTGTAAAATGCCCACTTGGGCTTGAGAATTAAAGGAGAAAACATTGATTATACTAGTCGGTATGAGAATTTCTACCACACAAAGGAAGTGTGCAAAAAATAACATATAAAAGGGTAGATTGGTGTTATTTTTTATAAATGAATGAACAATTACTTGGTACATGTACATAGCTGACTTCTGTGCATATACAATGTTTGTATTTCATGTTTATGAATCGTACTTAAAGAGCACTGTACATTGCAGGTTGTCCTCTCATTTATTTGGATGGCTACACCTCACCAGGTAAGCGTTTATACCCTTGAACTAATTTATTTCAGGATTTAAGCAATAAAATCATTAAAATAACCTCATTTCAATATTTGTTTTTCTTTTTTTGTTGTAAAGGTTTTAAGATGCTGGAAGCATACAACCTGACGGAAAAGAATTTTGCTTCTGTACCAGGAGTCTCTTTGGAGTCAGGGTCTTTCCCCAGCTACTCAGCTTACAAGCTTCAGAAGAATGCCTTTGTGAATCAGCCTACGGTGTAAGTGTGACAACTAGAATGTTCCTTTTCTTATAATGGGCCTGACACTTTCCTGAGGTTCTTAGAATTGTGCTGACTTCTTAAAAGCAAGAAGCTTTAGAATTGTCAGCAGTCTCTTTATGGATGATTTAGTTTAGTTTCCTTAAATACAGTCGGGTTAAGTGTCTTCCATCAGGTCCCACAGGAGACTAGGACTCAAGCCTTGCTATTCGCAGGCCCAAGAATGTCATCTGGTTCTGTATTATTATGGATTACGGACCTTTTAGGATTTAAGGCTAGGATTGTAGATTTAAGGCTTCTTTGAAGGGAGGCTGTTTAAACAGGAAGGCAACTAATTATTTTGAACATTTCTCCCTGTGGTGCAGAGGGACTGAATGGAATAAGTGCAGAATGCGAGCCGGCATTCTTTTTAGTGTTTCAGATCTCCAGAAGATGAAATATTGTGGCAGTTTTGCTTGTCCAAGATCAGACAGGCAGTGGTTAGTTTTTATTGGCCAGGGCTCTGGCAATCTGTTGGGTGAGCTCTAGCTGTTGTTACTTTACTTCATGAAAGTTTGCACCTGGGTATCATAACTAAAATACGTATTTTTTTATTCATTAGAATTAAAACACTTCAATGTTGAAAATATGTGTTTGGCAGCTTATGGAGAGAAAAGAGCAAGAAGAAATAAAGCCTTCAGAATCTTAGGGCAGGGCCAGAAAATGATGTCTGAAATTTGAAATGCTTTGGGAAAGCTGATGGAAAATTCAGACTAAAACCAAAGCTAATTTCTTTTAAGAAAGCACAGATCATATTGTTGTAGTTTGACCACACTGGAAGTTCCTAACTCTTTTATGGCTAACCATGTTGGTTCGCAGCTTTAGGTTTGTCAGTGAACCTTAATACCCAGTGTTTAACTTTCAGTCACCACAAGATATGATTCCTGCATTTTAACTTACGACAGCCTACTGTGTTCTCAAGAGTCAGAACTTGTGGCTGAAAGAAGCTGAAAGAAAGAAGCATAAATGCAATTAAAAGTTTTTCATAAGCACTCACTAACTGAGGAGGAGAAAAATGGATTGGGAGAGAGATGAATTAATATGGAGAAGATAATATTTTTAATATGGATTATTATGAAGATAGTGGGTTTTTGCACATACAAAAGACATTGTGTCAGCTTGCCCAGAACACATGTTTTAAGAAGCAGGGCAGCATGGTATTCCAGAGGCACGAGTGGTGTGATACTGGGACATGAAACTTCAAGAGACATTCTGTGCCCTCTGTCAAAGTTTGTGGAGGAATAGCTTCTTTTCTGTTTAAGAGCTGATAAAGCCTTTTTGCTACCTTCAGGAAGAAAGTATTATTAAATGGTCTCAGACAGAAACCCATCAATCCTGCTTCAAAGGCTCCCCCAGAACAATGACTGACTCAACTCTGGAAGAACACACGGGACCACATGTTTTGTCTAATAGTCTTAGAGCCAAGAAACACTTCCTTTTAATTGAATCACATCCTTTATCATCACTAAACGTTTGCACGTGTACATGGCTTTAACATTTATTACTGGTTTTATTTTTGGGAACATGTGAGCTTCTGGAGATTATGTGATTTATTTGATTTCAAGGGAGGAATTTGGAAGTGTAAAAATGATTAGAGATAGGGAAGGAGAAATTAAAACCTTAAGCCATATGACTTATGATCTCATACCTTTGACATTGGGAATTAAGTAAGATTCATTCTCTTTAAATTACATCCATAGATATAATGTTTATCATTCTAAAATTATTATGTAATTTTATAATCATCTTTGTGTCTAGAAAAAATTAACAGGATATTAACAGTTTTTAACAGTAGGATGAAAGACCATTGGGCAATTTCCCAGACTTTTGTGCCCTTAGCAGATTGTAAATAATCTATTTACATAATAGATCTTTATGTGTGTTCTTTTGATGTGTTTCCTAAATTTTTCCTCCTCTCATATGTAACCAGATTATTATGAATGGATTCTAATACTACCGATAATGAGATTATCCTACAAATATTTAAAATATCCTCTATTTCTGGTGAGAAATCCTTATTAACTAATTAATCAATTATGTTTTATCCAACAGAGATCTACATCCAAATGGACTCCCTTCTTCCTACACGATTATATTATTGTTCAGACTTCTCCCAGAAACTCCCAGTGACCCTTTTGCAATTTGGCAAATCACAGATAGAGACTACAAACCACAAGTTGGAGTGATTGCGGATCGTAAGGATTTTTATCTTTTTTTTTTTTAATTTTTTTTTAAAGATTTTATTTATTTATTTGACAGAGAGAGAGATAGTGAAAGCAGGGGGAGTGGGAGAGGGAGAAGCAGGCTTCCCGCGGAGGAGGGAGCCCGATGCGGGGCTCGATCCCAGGACCCTGGGATCATGACCTGAGCCGAAGGCAGACGCTTAATGACTGAGCCACCCAGGCGCCCCAGAATTTTTATCTTATACTAAGGCACATGCATACATATTTTTGATTATGTTTTCTCTCTCTGTCTCTTTAAGAACCTTCTGAATATATATATATTTACTTGCTATATGCTTTTATGTTTAAAGTTTTAAAAATATATCAGTAAATATTCTAATTACATTTTATCTCAACCTAAATGATTGAATATTTTAGAAATCTCTACAGCAGATGTTATTTGTTAATACTTTCAACATAAAGCATACCGTGTGTGATTTAATAACAATTACGTGTTGGTTACAGCTTCTAGCAAGACCTTATCATTCTTTAACAAGGATACAAGAGGTGAGGTGCAAACTGTTACATTTGACACAGATGAAGTGAAGACATTATTTTATGGAAGTTTTCACAAGGTAAAAACATAAAATTATCTGTTTTGTTATAGAAAAATAATATGACTTACAAATTAAAACTAATGTATAATTTATTAAAATGTCAGGTTAAATTGGTAGAAACATAGCTATGTCTTTTAAGAACAAAATCTTATTTTAGAGGATTTGATTAATTCAAGAATATTTAAAATAAAACAATAATTCTACTAATAAAGAGATAACTAGTACTAACATTTTGATATATTTTCAGTGCTAATATCCTTTCAAAATGTGAGTCATGTAGTATATATAGTATTGGATGCCTATTTTTTCTACCTACCATTTTATTGTGAACCTTTATGTCATCTTATTTCAAAAGCTTAATTTTTGTGGATTGTATTTTAATTGATAAAATTATTCTTTTTGAGAACACAGTAAGCTCTTTCTGCTTGCTTGTTTATTGAAAAGTTATAAACATGCTAGTCCAAAAGTTATGATTATCTACCAAAATAATTAATATACAAATTTATGAGATTAACTTTTCAATAAATACACTTATGAATTCTCTAAAAAATATTAAAAGTTCTAAGATGCATTCTTAGGGGATCGTCTATTCTTGTTGATCTTCATTAGTTTTTTGCATGTCAGCATCAGAGGATAATATAGACTTTCTATCAAAAAATGATTAATTGACACATTAAGTACTAAAGTTGGGAGCATTAGAAATGAGAAGAACTGTTTAGGTTAGGAATGGTCTTTTTAATGGTATTCCTTCATCCGATGGATTGAGTTAACAGGAGGAATACCACTTGGGCAACAGTATGGCACTCAGAAAATTCGTCCTTGTGCATAGAAGAAAAATATTTCCAGTTCAGTCTGATTCTAAAGTGAAAATTGAACTTTCCTGTACTTGAATAGTTCAGCTAGATTTCTTGCAGATTCTACTCCTGAGAATCTTGGTTTCTTTCCAGAATGTTTTTTTATTGATGAATCACTCTTGCCAGGGATGGAAGGGACTTTCCTCGTGGAGCTCAAAGTGGCTTCAATGTGCGCATTAGTGAGAAACATAAAAAAAAAAAGAAGAAGAAGAAAAACAAAGATTTCTGAGTATAATGGCATATCTACTTAACAGTTTACAGATTTCCATGATGAAGTACAGTAAAATAAATGCCTCACCAGGAAAGCAAATTCTAGTTTGACAGATTATTAGCTTCCACTGCTCCTTATCTGATAGTAGATGTTGAATTTGGCTAAGTTCTTATGAACTTTTTTGGCTCATTGATACACCTATTAAACTTACATTTGAGTACTTGCTAAAAAGAACTATTTTATTTTTCCTTCCATACCACTGAAGTTATTAGAAATTTAATCTTCTATGAGCCAACTGATAACAACTTAAAAACTATTATTTTTAAATTTCTAACTTTCATCAAATACTTCATTTTACTTAAGGAAAAAAGGGCAGTATTTTGCAGAAGTCTGTAGTGACAGTCATTAATTACAAATTAAGATATTTTTTTTGACATTTCCTTCTTTGCTTGCCTTGATAGAGAGCTATTTGTGTTCATAGGTTTTATGTAATGCCTCTTCTTTTTCCTTCTGACAAGCTCTCTTGTCTACTCAAATCTCTATCTTCTTTTTTCATCAGACCTTTCTTTTTTTTAGTTTCTCCTCTACTGTTTCACTATGCTCTTTTTCCTCCTCCATTCCTCCACCCCATTCTTTTAACCTATTCTCACTTATCAATTCAAGTGCCAAATTCAGTCACTATTGTCTATTTACATTCTTTACTGATCCAAAGATTCACTTTTCTTTCATTTTACATCTAATTTGGGAACTAAAGTTCTTCAGTCTTTTGGATGAGAATGGGTGGTTCTCTGATAGCAAGAAATTAATGAACATGACATGTAGGGGGCTCTGGGAAAGAGAGGGTGGATAGGCTAAAAGAGCTTAAATAAGGAACGGCAGACAGCTATGGCTTCTTAAGGATTCTCTTGACAAGTTTTTGTGTCTCTGTTCCAAGTGAGAAGTTTATAGTAAGAAGAAAAAATGGAATAGATGAAAAATAAAGATTTAGGGAATGGCAGAGCTTGGAAAGGGAGATGATTTGATAAGAGTGTTCCTATTGTTTTCTACTTGTCTGTGACCAAAAAATGTTTCACAACTGGGAAATAGTCCCTAAATACTTGGGACAGTGGTCTACAGATGAAGAGCCCACTCTGAAATGTTACTATGAATGTGTTTAAAATGTAATGAAACATACTGAAGAGACTGTAGCAAAATATGTTTTTAACATGAGTTTCTTAATGGTTGGTATTGACTGACAATTGGAAAAATTTTGTTACAAATTAAAAGTTTTGATTTTGAGATAATTTTTGGGGGTACTATGATTTTTCAAATACTTTGTGAATTTTTGGCCCTGAGTTTGTTCATACAAGAGCCAACAAATAAATTTTTTTTTAAGCTGGGTGTGGAGCCCAATACAGGGCTTGAACTCAAGACCCTGAGATCAAGATCTGAGCTGAGATCAAGAGTTGGGCGCTTAACTGACTGAACCACCCAGGCGCCTCAAGTTTTAGTTCTTATTAGATAATAAATATCTTGAGAATGCATATATGATGTTCTTCTTGAATTCAATATTAGATGATTGTTTTAGGAACATTTAAAATTTATTTTTAGTAAGCTATGTATCACTTTTATATAAAAGTAATCAATATGTAATTCACACTTAAAACTTATAGATGCACTAAATTAGTGTTTTGCTGGTGATTCTATATGGGAAAAATATTCACTGTTTAAAGACATCTCCAGAGATTATCCTAATGCTTATTGACTCAAAGCATTTAAGAGAATTTCTGTTCCTTTTAACTTGGAGCCAAACTTTTCAAAGTAATCATCAAGTACTTACTTGAGTATATGTGCTGTGATAAGTGGAAACTATGAGCATAACTATAAATGAAAAGATTACCTGCAACCATTTTATACATTGTTGAAATACAAATGTTTTGTTAATTATCTGCACTAATAGATTTCAAATTCTGATTGTCCTCAATATCAGATAAGAAATCAACATAAGATTCTTTCCTTATAAGGAAATTGAATCTTATATCTATTGATTTCCAGAACTAAATCTCTGTACTTCTACATGTGCTAATTCTTTACTATGTTAGGTATCTATATGGTGTGCAAGTTCTTTTTGACTGAGATTAGGGAGTAACAAATTAAAAATTGAATTTAGCAAAGCCAGTGGAAGACATTTGAGGCTCCTTTCTACTGAATATAATAATATATTAATAATTTCATAACTTGTATCTGAATAGTTCTTTATAGTTAATGGAATCATTTCATCTACTACTCATCTCTGGTCATCTCAGTAAGGTTACATATGGGAAAATAGGAAATTATGCTGTATATGTGGATGAGGGCTCATTCAGTTTGATGTTGTTAATAAATGACATTGACATTGCAACCTGGTTCTTGGATTTTTAGTCCAAGACTTGATTTGGATTAAGAGTAACTTAAAGAACATATTTTTTAACCTGTGATCTGAAAAATGCAGAAGTCAGCCAAGTTTTTTGGGGTAGAAATTTTATAATGGAAACAAATGATCTTTTTAGGTTCATATTGTAGTGACCTCAAAAAGTGTTAAGATTTACATCGACTGCTATGAAATCATAGAAAAAGACATCAAGGAAGCCGGAAATATCACAACTGATGGTTATGAAATTCTTGGAAAACTTCTTAAAGGGGAGAGGAAATCAGCCACAGTAAGTAACCCTTTTTTTTTTTTCTTGGTACCTTGTGTTAAGATTGCAATAACATTTTAAAAATAATCCATGAGTTGTTTTTTTGTTTTTTGTTTTTCTCAGTGAGTTTTTTTTAAGATTTTATTTATTTATTTGAGAGAGAGGCAGAGAGCATGAGCAGGGGGGAAGGGCAGAGGGAGAGGGAGAAGCAGACTCCTCTCTGAGCAAGGGAGCCCGATGCGGGGCTCGATCCCAGGACCCTGGGATCATGACCTGAGCCGAAGGCAGATGCTTAACTGACTGAGCCACCCAGGTACCCCCTCAATGAGTTTTAAGTTGTCAAATTCCTTAGACTGAAACATTGAAAAATTACATTGAGGAAATACGCTACTGACAGAACATAATAATGTGCTTGACTGCTAGAAACAAAATAAGATGTCAAGGCACCAGGGAACATCATGTAGTCATCTTGAAATAGGATCAAGTTGGAGAGTACAACACAAATAGTTGCCAGGATAATCAGTGAAATCTAAAATAACTCATTTTTTGTTCTTCAAAGATAGCGATGGTTAGTACAAATTTTGGCAATCAAGACATTCAGCATTTGTAGCTTAATGACACAGACATGGGCTGTCACTGTCATAGAGCCTACGCTCTATCACAGAGGAGTCATCCTCCGTCTGTCTCAGAAGGAAGATCGGTGTAGTGGGGCAGCCAGCTGACCGACCGCATTACTCACAATTTGCACTGGCTCAAGTTTGAGGCAGAAGCATGCCAAAAGTATTTACAGTGCTATCTAGTAATAAAATTTTAAATTTAGAGTTTTCACTGTCTCAGGCTAATTAAGTTCATATTAAATGTCCATCAATGATAATATTATTCTAAAAGCAAGGTTAACATCTTTGGCTTCTATTATTATTTTTTAATTGCATTTATTTAATTTAGCTTTCTTCCATGGACTGGATTTCCTTCTCCTAGATTCACAAGTGAAGTTTTTATTCCACGATGTAGAAAAAATTAGTGCAAACTTAATATATGGTGATTAACATCTGGACTTTTAATTTAATTAAATTTTTAAATTTTTTAGAGATTAATAGAATAGTTAATATGGTTAACCGTCTAAATTAATAGCAATGATAGTGATGATTACTAAGATTTATCAAGCACTTAGCGTGTACTTTTTAATTTTTCTTTATTGAAGTATAGGCGACACATAATGTTACGTTACTTTTAGGTGTACAACAGTGATTCAACAAGCTTATATGTAGACTTTTTATTGAATATTGGATTTGTTCTTTACATAGAATAATTATAACAGGTTTATAAAAGGATGGCTATATCCAAGCAATCTTTGCCTTTTCACCAAAGGAGCTTTATTTTTAAAATGTAGAAAGATAGAAAACATATACTATATTGAAATAGTTAAACTGAGGGTAATCATAAAAGTTATTAGTCAGCCCCCAGGTAAGAATTTATGAAAAGAAAAGCATCAGTTTCAGGATAAATGAGGAATGGCTTTTTTAAAAATGTTATTTTTCTACAAGGGTGGACTCTTAAAAGTTGATTTAAATGTGTATAGTCTTCAAATTCTTAATTAAAGTCTTAATTCCTAAATAAAGCAATTAATGTTCTCTTTAAAAAGACAAAACTCAATCAAGCATTTTATTTTAGCCAAGGAAGTGAATCAGAAGTGGGAATTTCACATATGCATTTTGCCTTAACATCTCTTTCTCTCAGGCATAGGTTTTTATGTTCTTTCCTTATGAAGTAAGGATCACATTGCTCTCAAGGGTTTTCACCCTTGAGAGAGTCTTTGTGAGAAATTGGCAAAGGCTAAAATGCGGAAACGTTAATATAAAATGTTTTTCGTGCATCTTTAGCTGATGTTGCTGTTGGTTGTTTGCAGTTCCAAATCCAGAATTTTGATATTGTCTGCAGTCCGGTGTGGACCAGTCGAGATAGATGCTGTGATATTCCCTCTAGGGTAAGTAAAATGGAATGGAATCATGTCGTGTCTTAATAGTCCTCCCGGAATAAGGGATGTGGATGCAGATGGTCCGGGAGAGAAAGTAGCACTCAGCAACTGAATCTCCAGGATGGAGCTAAGGGACAGGCATTATGTGCATGCTCATCCCTACCACAGCTCAGGCCAATGACCCCTCCTCCGAAAGCCAGGAATACACAAGACCACATCTGGAAATTCTCCCTAATGGCCAGAGTGGTTATGTGTAGTTAGAAAAGTCCTGCTGAGTCAGTGGGTTTGATAAATCTACTTATTACAAAGCCCTCCTATTGCTTGTAAAATATCAGCATTTTACAGAATAAACCCTGATCTCTGTGGATATCCAAGGCTTATGGTGGACGTAACAATATTACTTTGTGAGATGATGATTTTCCCTCATTGTATCTGTGTAAGTGGTAATAGGTACGAAGCTGAACATAATGATGGATTGGACTCTTTTGGCAAGCAATGAACTGCATACATCCACAGGATGAATGTGTGTTATTTATTCAGCAAATACTTATTGAGCACCTATTTATTATAAGCCAGGCAGAATTCTATGTGCTTGGGCTACAGCAGTGAAAAGTGAATATTCTAATGGAAGGAAGGCGGAGAGAAAGAATTAACAAGTAGCTATACACTACATTACAAAGTAGAAAGTCCTATGATACAAAGCAAATCAGGGTGAAGGGATAGAGAGCCAGGTGAGTACTGTCAGCCCCCAGTGATAAGGTGAGGTTTAAGCAGAGACCTGAAGAAGCGAGGGAGCGGACAATATAGATAAGGGAGAAACAGCATTCCAGTCAGAGTAGACTGTACATGCAAAGGCCCTAAGGCCACAAAGTGCCCTGAATATCTGAGAAATATTAAGGTAGGGGCTGGAGCTACATGAATGGAGGGATGGGGGTAGGCAGTGAGATGGGCAAGGTGGTGCTGGTTTGTAGAACATGTAAGGCCCTGTAGTCCCTGGAAAAGATTTTAGATTTACCCCAAATGAAATGGTATTGATATCTGAGCTACTCAGCATTTCTCTAACACTGGATTAAGGAAAATTGTATTAAATTACCAGTGGTCCCCGTGGTGGTTTCGTAAACATTTCTTTGTTATGTACGGTTTCCTAAAGTAAAACAAAAAATAAAGACGTAAAGGACCAAAGCAAGATTCAACATAAGACTATTTGTCATGCTAAATACAAATTATTTCTTCACGTTGAGAAACAGATTTCCTTGTGTATATAAGATAAATGTGTGTGGTGGGGGGAGGATTGGAAGTCATTTTGATCTCAATTCACAGGCAAATATGCTTTTCAAAATTTCAGAGAGATGAAGCAAAATGCCCTGCTCTTCCAAATGCTTGCACATGTACACAGGACAGCGTTGGACCTCCAGGTCCACCCGGGCCTGCGGTAAGGGAACTGCAGCAGTCCTAGCTTTTCCTCTAAATCTTCGACGTGATCATCTTTTGGCCAATATATAGTGGATAAAATGCTTCCAGCCATCTGTATTTTCTAGGACAGAGCAAGCTAAATTGTAGACCATTTTTTGTGGTATGTTTTGAGATCTGAAATGGAATAAATCAAGAAGGAAATTTGAACACATTTGCACACATTTTTCCAGTCATGCAGGAATGAATGATATTGGCTAGTATTTAAGAGCTTTTCTCTTAAAGATGTGGATCTGGGTTTCCATCTATAATCACATGAGTTTGAAAATTTCTTCCATCTCCTAAACGCTTCCTGTATATATGTTATGGAGCCATGGTTGAAAGGCTGATCCAGAGCAACTTGTTTAGAACCTAGGATATGTATATTTTATGTAGCAGAAATATCATGAGAATAACATGTAAGGAGGGAAATTTACATATGTGATGATATTATAAACTCCAGGTGAAAATATAGGGATTTGGAATAACTGGAGGAAGAAGTCTATGACCAGGTCTGTTCATGGGGGTGGGGAGGCCAAGAAAGTGCAAGGAACAACATTGAAGATTGCAGTGATAGATTACACTAATCAGCATGGAACACCTTGATTTTGTCAATCCGGCATCTAACCTGGTGTGGTTTTGTGGGATGGAAGGGATACCTCTAAAGCCTATTGGCTTCTTTTAAGAAAATGGCTAATTAATGTAGGAAAAGCTCAGAGATTCTCAGAACACCAAATTTTATCATACTTGGGTGATAGCAAATAATGTAAATTGATTTTAGGTTAATTACAAACCAGCTCCTCACATATAGAGTCAAATGTCACTGGAATTACCACCATTCATTTATTTTTTATTAACAGTGACTTATCTGATTTATATTTGTAATCATAAAATTATATCCTGGATATAACTTAGATGTTTTTGAGAAGTAAGGATTTTTTTATCCTCTAATTATAAGATAATACTATTGGATGTCATTGTCATATTTATTTTCTCTTTGTTCAGTGAACTCTGAATTCCTGCTACTAAAGTACATGTTCTGAGATTCTGAGAGTTTAAGGATACTCTTCTTTTTGCATATTAATTTCTCTGAAGAATGCATTCATATAATTCCAAAACAGAATTTTCTCCTTACTGTATTTAAGTAATGCTTGTTTTTTTCCATTAAACTTCAAATTTTCAAATAAATTTCAAAACTTGCTAATGATTAAGAAAAGTTCAGAATATAAAAGTGAGACACTTGGGCGCCTGGGTGGCTCAGTTGGTTAAGTGACTGCCTTCGGCTCAGGTCATGATCCTGGAGTCCCGGGATCGAGTCCCACATTGGGCTCCCTGCTCAGTGGGGGGTCTGCTTCTCCCTCTGACCCTCCTCCCTCTCATGCTCTCTGTCTCTCATTCTCTCTCACAAATAAATAAATAAAATCTTTAAAAAAAAATAAAAAAATAAAAGTGAGACACTTGAAATGTACAAGGTTTTGAAATTCTCTTTCCCCACATATTTATATGACATGTAATATTCACTTCAATATTTTGAAGGTAGCTATAGAAGTATTGCCTAGAGAATGCCCTGCTTCTTGAAGTAATTTCTATATATCAACTTCTCCCTACTTTCCTTATTGTCACCCTAAAATGTGTTCTTACTATGTATTTTAGGGAGGACCTGGTGCTAAAGGTCCCAGAGGGGAAAGAGGAATCAGTGGGGCAGTTGTAAGTATATTTTAGAGCGCATTTAAATTTTCATGTATATGTTGAAGTCTGATTGTTCAAATTTCTACTAAGGGGATATGAGACCTTGAGCAAGTTAGTTCAAGTGTAGTGTGCTTTAGGCAATATAAATACTTAGGCCTTGTCTCTGATTGTCAAGACGATGAATTAGACTAGCCAGAGAAAGAATTGTCCAAGGCATCTCACTCCTGTAGGAACTACACATAGGGAATCTGCCCAAGAACCTAAGGGTTCTGCTGCATGCAACACGGAGACACAGAGCCGGTCACGCATTCATCAGTAGGAAGACCCACAGGGAGCAGAGTCCCGCTGGAACCCTGGAGAGGGCTGGGAGCAGTTGTGCTGCTCTTTATTTCACCTGTCTCAGAGAAAGAGCTGAGTGGCCACGCATGCGTTCACTGGGGGTCATCAACCCCTTTCCACCAGGTCCGACTCAAGCTTATTAGGGCAATCTATTATGACGATAATGTGTACTTTTCGTCATAATATTACTAATGATAATCTAACCCAGTTAGGAAAGGGTGAGGCTGGGATGCTAACCCAGGGTCCTGACTCCAAGTTTTCACCTTTTCCACCTGGACACGTTGCAAAGAAGCTCCAGCATAGCGCATCTTCTTAGTGGATATCTGTATTTCCTTGCTTGATACACATTACATATATACATTAGTCCCAGAAATAAGCCCAGTCTAAGAGAAATCAGGACTAGCTAAAACTAAATGAAATCCACCAAAATTCAAGCTTTGATCTCATATGAATTCATGAATATAAATCTATGAATGTATCATATTCAGTGTGTTTTACTTCTTTTAAAAATCTACTTCTAATGGGACTTTTGGAAATTTAAGTGCTCTTGTGGTGAAAAGTGTTATTGTGCTTTTCAACTGATCTTTAATGAGTAATAAAGGGAAGAAAGGAATGGTATTAATAAATGCTTTTATAGGTGTGTAGGTTTCTAAAATGTTCACAAACATTATATGATTGATATCTTAGAGTTATGATGATAAGCTTCTGATTGGATGTTAGCCCTGGAAGGTCATTACATGACTTTGTGGTTGTTTCTCTCTGTGTGTTTTAGGGGCCCCCTGGCCCTCGTGGAGACACAGGTCCTCCAGGCCCCCAGGGTCCTCCAGGTCCCCAGGGACCCAACGGACTCTCTATTCCGGGAGAACAAGTAAGCACGAAGGCTTTCTGTATTTCAGTGAGGATGGTGGATTAACATTAAGTTGAAGTGGAATATTTTTTACTGTATTTTGCCAAACTCAAAAGTTTTCTGGGAACTCAACAAGGTTAGTCATTGGGATAACTTCCTATGACTATAATTTCAGATATGTAAATAGCATATGTAATAATGTATAAATGTGTAGATAAAATTATTGCCACTAATTTGACCTTTAAAAAGTAATAGGTGGTGCATTTATCCTTCAACATCCTGAAAGCTTTGAAATTACTTTCAGCCTTGGAAGCTCGTGGCTAATATTGATGATTTCAAGGCAAGCTTGCATTGTTTATCTAGGTCATTACTTCCTTAAAAAAACTTTTAAATAAAATGTTGACTTTTTGTTCCAAATGCAAATCTGAAATTACAAAAAGGTTTTTACCCTTTAAGACTCATATTTTATTTAACTACTACCATTTTTTCTATGCCTTAAAATAAACAAAAAAATACAGTAGATGAATAAGCATACGATATAACTGCATAGTTTTAAAATTGAGTCTAAACTCCCTGTTAAGATGCCTTAACAGATAAATTTTTTTGGCACTTAGAGGAAAAATAATCAATATCAGATATAGCTAGAAATGAAACATGTGGAGGGATAGGGCTTTCTCGCTCAAAAGTGTTGACTACATCTACTTTTAGCTTCTTCTGTCCAAAAGGGAGTTTTGGGGCCTTTACCTGTCTTATTACTATTATTAAATTAATCAGTTTTAATTAATTCAACTTGGCCTTTGTAACAATGTCTTTCTAGCATGTAGTTATAAAGACCAAAATTATGTTACAACATAATTTTCATTGATTGACTATCTTTCTATTAATATTGCACCTAATTAGATACATTAAATAAAAAATAGCTTTTTCCCTTCAAATTTTATTTCTGTGAAAACCCCATATGTTAAACTATGTTCTTTTAAAGTAGTAGGTATATCATCCCGTAATTATATAAAATTATCCTCTAATAAGTGGAAATCTCAACACAACATTTACAGTTTAAAAAGTGAGCATCAATCTCCAAAATGATTTATTCACCTACACAATATAAAATGTGTTTATATTGGATTTATGAAGTGATGGAGATTTCAGAAGTGACTCATGTCTTCCCCTTTTACTTAATCTCTGTAAAATGCCTGAGGCCTGTTTTCCCATTGCTGCTCTAGGGGCGCCAGGGGATGAAAGGTGATGCTGGAGAACCAGGACTTCCCGGCCGAACAGTGAGTTGTTCTTCAAGTTGCCTTTTCTTTCCTTTGTCAAGCGCCATTTGAAAAGTTGCCCTTGTAGTGCCCCAAAAGGTGAATGCGGGTGAAGCAGCAGAGCAGAAGCCAGGCTATGGGCTTCCCATGATTTCCATTTCATCCTGTGGTCTTAGTTGTCAAGTTTGTGCTGTTCAATTCAGGTGTCGGCTTCTTGACAATCATCTACTATATGGCGGGCACTGTGATTAGTTCTGGTTTTCTATTGCTTTTCAGAGTCCCCTGAAATATTTTTTAAGAGATTTTATTTACTTGAGAGAGAGAGAGAGTGAATGTGCATGAGTGGGGGGAGGGGCAGGGGGAGAGGGAGAAGCAGACTCCCCACTCAGCAGGGAGCCCAGTGCAGGGCTCCATCCCAGGACCCTGAGATCATGATCTGAGCCGAAGGCAGATACTTAACCGACTGGGCCACCCAGGCGCTCCCCCCCCGCCCCCGCTGAAATTGTTTTCAAGCATTTTGAAGAATACAAAGTGTTTTTTCCCACGTAGGAACTATATTACAGCGTTTCACTTGTTTGTTTCCTTTTGTGTAGGGAACCCCAGGATTACCTGGTCCACCAGGACCAATGGGACCTCCAGGAGATAGAGTAAGTTATCTTGGGCAGGCTCTGATGATGTTGGATAGGATATCACATTGTTGCCTATTAATTAAGAACCCTCCACAATTCAGTCTTCATGGCTGGAGATGCAGGATTCACAGGTCTTGTGGGAGGCTGAAGAACTAGTATCAGTGGACTACCTGACACCAGATCAATCTCAAGGTCCCATGAAACAAAATGGCGGGACTTTGGGCAGGTCCTTGAAATTTTCATTTTGGGAATTTTAAAAAACTATCCTATTCAGAAAAAAAGTTCATAAAAGGAGTGTTAGCTGATTGGAAAGAGACTCAAGGATCCTAACAAATTCTTTTAAATCCTAAGATTAAGTTCTTTTCATGAGGCAGCTCTTATGTAACTCTGAGAGTAGTCTTAATTTCCATGGCATTTTCTATGAAGTCAGGACAGCTTTTCTATCACATGTAGAACTCAAATTCCACTTTTACACCTTGAGGATGGGATAGACAACTGGTACTTAGTAGGAATTTTGCTCCTTTGTGGCAACTTTTGGAGTTCTCTTGATTTATGATGGAATCGGTGCAGGAAACCTCATCTTTTCTAGGACAAGTAATGAGAAGCACAGTGAACATAAATTCTATGTTTTTTTTTTTTTTTAAAGATTTTATTTATTTATTTGACAGAGAGAGAGACAGCAAGAAAGGGAACACAAGCAGGGGGAGTGGGAGAGGGAGAAACAGACTTCCTGTGGAGTGGGGAGCCCGATATGGGGCTCGATCCCAGGACCCTGGGATCATGACCTGAGCCGAAGGCAGACGCTTAACGACTGAGCCACCCAGGCGCCCTTAAATTCTATGTTCTATTCAATGTTACAGAAACATTTGGTTTCATCGGAAATGACAAATACCTTAATAAGAGATTTTAGTGTCACTCAGAAACAAGGAACTGTTGACTTTTCAGTATCTTAGGGGTCAGACAACAGCCCAGAGTAGTCTGTATTCTGACTAACCAAGTTAAAGCTTGTGATTAGCAGCAGGATCTGAGAGAGCTTACTGTAATAGCTGTCACTAACAAGCTGATTTGCTAACCTTAATACCTCTAAGACACCAGGCAGAAGAGGAGGGTAATTCAGTTGGAGCCAAGATTTGCCCAGATAATACCGAATGGTGGCTGATATGCCAGTGAACTTTATTTGCCTACTTTTGAGTTTGAGAGAGAGAGAGGTCAGAGAGAAGACTGTGTTCTTTGGAAATCTGTAACCTGGAGATGGTACTTATGTAATACATTCTTCTGACTCTTCTGAGACTGGCACTTCAGTTTTTTTGAATTCTTATTTTATAATAAAAGACAGTAGTAAGATTGCCGAGGTGACAAGTTGGTCTATTCAATTAGAAAACAAAACCAAAGATCCTGCAATTAAGTGATGATGGGCTGACTCACTTGGTGCTGTTATTATGGAAGTCTTGTGGGACCCATTCCGTCCAGCCAGTGTGGGCTTCCTGCAGATACAGTAGGTCGCCAGTGATACCCCATCAACAGATTCTTCCCCGAACTGGTGGTCAGGCAGCCATTGCCCCCATCACTGCTTCTCTGAACGAAGGAATGGGACGGGTCTATGCTTTTTTGCTTTTTCATTCTCAAACTCTAATTTGTGAATCCAACTTTGTGGTGAGGCCACCCAGATCTCCCAGGCTGAGAGTGAGGAAACTTCTCAGGAAATCATTCTCCTCTTTCCCACCCAGCCTTGCTCACCTACCTACCACTTAGTTTCCTACCACTGATGCTGAAAGTAGGGTGCACAGCTGATGGAACATAAACAACTTTGGAAAGTTAGATAGACTTTGGTATAGGCATCATGGCTGAAAAGAAAGAAAGAAAGAAAGAAAGAAACTTGAACTCTGTGGTGGAAGAGAAGAGAAGAAAGCTCAGGAGAGCAAGCCCAAAGACCACAGTGAGGAAGGAAGACTTGTTACCTATATGGAGTTGGGAGGAATTGGATGCGTGTGTTGTCTTCAGCATAAATGATTTGCAAAATGAGGCACAGCTTTGGGAACCGTTAGAAAGAAACAAAAGAATTGCATGTATAGGTATCTAATACATGTGTATTCATGAAAACAACCATGGGTCTTCTCAGCCAGCCTCACTTAAGGGGAAGCAGCAATAACCACTGCAGCTTTGAAAATGGAGAATAAAGTAAAATTATAGCCCAAAGTTCTGCAGATGGCTCAGTGGGCAGACCTTCTGAAGACATCAGAATAAGATCCTCTTCAACCCAACTTAGACATATGTTTCTTCTAAAAGAAAATGGTTGGTTGGACCTAAGTGTTCATGGATGGACATTTGAGATATATATATATATATATATATATAACATTCAGCCTTAAAAAGAAGGAAATCCTGTCATTTGCAACAACATGGATTAAATTTGAACCTGGAGGACATTATGGTAAGTGAAATAAGCCAAGCACAGAAAAAAGAAATACCAAATGATCTCACTTATGTATGGGATCTAAAAAAAGTTGAACTCATGGAGGCAAAAAGTTGCATGGTGGTTGCCATGGGCAGGGGTGAGGGGGATATGGAGAAATGTTGGTTAAGGGCTATAGAGTTTAGGATGGATGAACTTTGGAGATCTAATGCACAGCATGGTGACTATAGTGAATAATACTATACAGTATACTTGGAATTTGCTAATAGAGTAGATCTTTAAATGTTCTCATCGCACTCAAAAAATGATAACTGCGTGAGGTGATGTATCTGTCAATTATCTTGGTTGTGGTCATCATTCCACAGTGTACACATACATCCAAACATCATGTTGTACACCATCAATACATACAACTTTTGTCAATTATACTTCAATAAAGCTGGAGGAAAAAAAAGAAAACGGTTGATCAGGAATTTCTTAAGCTGACTGAAAGAGGATTATTCAGAAACGTAATACTCACCTAAACAAACAAATAAACAAAAGAGTGTCCTATATTGACGTTGGAGAAATTTAGATGGAAGAAATGCAATTCAAACTGCCTAAGCAATACCACCGGGGCATTTTTGCTTCTTCAGTGGCTCTCAGAAGCAATGTTGATGTTACATCAGATGAACTTGGAGTCTGTTTTTTGTTAAGCAGGCCTGGATCTCCCAGAAAACAGTCTGAAATCTTTATCTGTTTAAGTTTCTGGAAAAAAAATGGGTGGTGGTGGAATATTTCTAACATAATTTTAAAGAAATAATTTAAACTTCCTCTGTCGTAAAATCAATGGAAGCATGGATACTTAATGCAGGCAGTTATCCAAATGCTCTTGATTTTTGCTCGAATCCAAGAATATGGATGAAATTATCAATCTTATTCCCTGCAGAAAATGAGACAAAAATCTCCTTTGACAGAGGAATGCAAGAACTATAAAAAAGACCTGACTCAGAAATCCTCTGCTGAATTTCAGAGATCTCGCTGTTGGAATGAGTGCTAACTGGGTAGCAGAGTGACTCATTCCAGGCAGAGGTCATCTGGCACTTGGATGGAGGCAGGTCGTGAGAGCCACGGAGCAGGCCTGCAGGGCAGGGTGTGGCACTGCAGGGACACGTCTGTCTTTCCAGTCAACCTGACACCCATGCGGATCTGGCCTCCTGTGCGAGATGAGGAGAGACAAGTCACTAAAACAATTAGCTGAGGATCTGAGGATTTTCTTTCGAGTCGAAGAGGGTTAAGACAACTTCACACCTTTCCAAGGTCGGGGAGAGAAATGCCTCTGGAGTGGAGATATCAGTGGTCCTGCCCTTGGCTGCCTGGCCATTGCTTAGGAAGCGAGGGAATTTTTACTCAGGTGGTTGGCCTTTCCTTCATCTTTTATGATACCATGAGTTTTGGGCAGCAACATTTCCTTTCCTCCCACTTTGATTCTTTTTGGGCTAGTTTGTGAACATTGACTTTTCAGTAGAAAGTGTTAGCCTTGCTCTAGGCTTCCTAACACTCGTACAAAAGCAAAAGCTAGCATCTTTATAAAAGGAGTCTACCTTCTTTGGAGAAGATTAGTGTGACTCTTAAAATGACTTTATTTATAACTATATAAATGAATAAGTATGGAAATTAACTATTCAGTAAAAGGCATAACATAAATTGGAAAGCATTTTTTGGGGGGGTATATTTGTCTTCATAGTGGAAGGTTACTTGCAGTTGGATACTTCACTCTTCACTCTTAGTGAGCTCTTTAGTGCCTTTCCTTTTCTCTTGGTCATTATTTCACTAATCCGAAATTAATTTTATGTTTACAATAGGGCTTTACGGGAAAAGATGGTGCAATGGGACCCAGGGGCCCCCCTGGGCCACCGGTAAGAAGTGAATGGATTACATTGTTGTCTCCCCACCACAACCCCTGCCCCCATTTGCTTGGGAAAAGCCCAGGAACCTGGCCTTTGAGGCACATTCCGTCAGTGCTGTGGGGTACACTGTCAAGGGAGCTGTTGGCTTTATTTTCCTAAATCAAAATGGGCTACAGAAAACAGATGTGTTAAAATACAGAGTCTTTCTTTTTAAACAAGTTATGTTTGAAAAATAGAAAAATACCTCTAAGTTGGCCACTAGCTGGTTAGTGCTCCTGTTCCTTCCAACCCCACACTGAGTGGTAGGGTTTTAAGACCTTACTCGTTACTTTCTGTTCTAAAATTTTAGGAATCTATGGTCTATTAAGATTTTAAGAATCTAAGTATTTCAATTTTAGGGATATTTATTACTGACCACTATCAGTCATTCTGAGGAAGTAAGTTTCACCCAAGGAGGTCTTCTAATTAAGATCTTTGGGGAAAATACTGAAGCCAATGATTTGGAAAGTGGCATCTATATACCTGCATCTGGGTGAGATCATAATGAACTTGTGTGAGGTGATGGATGCTCTTCATGTCTGATGGTAGGATATGAAGACTTGAGAGCATGTGTTAAAATAATGTTATTATTTATGTTTAATATGTATGTCCTCAGGTAGAGGAGAATTTAAATGTATAGTAAACTTGCATTTTAAATATTTACTACAGATTTAAATATTTACTATAGAGCTTTGCATAATTGACAAAGTAAAGGATTAACTGTCCTACAAAATTTGATGATTCTATTTTAAGGAAATTTTAGGCTTTAGAACATAAGGTATTGGTTAGGAGATATTATAAATATTTTATGAAAAATAGGACTAAGAATTTTAAAACTGTGTTAAAAGCAACAGGGAGAAATTCTTATGGGGTGAAGGGTGCTCACATGATAGAAGAAAGTAGAAGGGTAGAGAAGGCACCAAAAAAAAAAAAAAAAATGAATTTCTAGGCAGAGAGCAGGACTCCCAGCAGCAAGGGAAGACTCGGCCACAGTGGTGCCCAATTTAGCACAAACCCAGCTACTTTCTTAATTTCTTCCCCAACCAAAGTTTTCACTCTTGTCTTTTGATGGGTTTTCTGGTTTTGCAACAGAGATAAACTAAAACACAGGGATTGCTTTCTGCCAATTCATTTCGTAACCAATCTACTAGAATCACAGTCTGTGAATTGTGAAACTGTGTGTAGGTACAGATTTTTTTCAAATGGTCCTAAACTGTATTTGGGAACTATATGCTCCACAAGATTGAGAATTATCAAGATTTTCTTTTTTCTTCATGCTATCTTAAAATTTGGTTTTACTCTTCCCTATTGCGTGCCGCTTCTTTGAAAGGCTTTTAAAGCTGGCCACGTTTGCTAGCTTACTTGAGATGGGATTTTTCTTTCATTGTGTCCTTCCCTTTCTTGGCCTGGCCCATGTGTTGCAGGGAAGCCCAGGCTCCCCAGGCGTCACAGGACCGAGTGGGAAACCAGGAAAACCCGGAGACCACGGCAGACCTGTAAGTGGACAGATTGTGTGTCAAGAGGCCTTTCCCTGTGGCTATAAATAACGAGGATGCTACAAGGCTTTGGCCTATTCATGTTATCTCTGTCGTAATGGGTTTAAAGCATTTGTTGAAACTATACTAAAACCCATGGATTTCACTTGGTACCAGTTCTAAAATTTTTCTCTCTAAGTTATAACATTTGGGGATGAAAATTGTGGTCATAGGGTTTCTTTAAAAGGAGAATGGGATCTTGAGCCAAGACATATTTTTGCACTGTATAAACACTCAAAGCTGGGTCAGCAGAATGATTCTTTTATTTAGGAATGGTATGCTGCTTAAGATAGAAAAATACGTGATGGTGGTTCTCGGCGCCTCCATCCTGTCCAGAGTTTTGCAGATGTTAACCCTTCATGAAGTCATCCAGCCATGCATTCACTCATTTCTCTCTCACTGAGGATGCTAGAACAGTAGTCCCAGGATTAAAAGGATTTTTCTAATCCACTACTTTACTTTTTTATACGGCCCTGCTCCAATTTATATACAGTTTATCTTTCTTTCAGTCAGATGGTTTGATTAAAATAGTAGTTACGACGGCATTATGCCGATCTGGTATTTTCAAGTTAGTCCCTCCAAAACTGAATTTGAAGTTCCTAAAATCACAAATCCAGAAGTATTTGTAATGACTGTTGAGCATCATCTTCTTCTTTACAACCTTTTTCTTCTTTGTATATATGAATTGTGAAAATATTTTCAGCAGTTTATTTGTCTCAATTGAATTCTAAAAGATAAAAATTTATGTCAAAGAAAATGAAGTCCAACTATTAGCAATGACACAAGTCCATCAGGGCTATTCTCTGGACAGAAATCTTTTTTTTAAAGTATTGTCCAAATTATATAAACCCCAACTTAAAAACTGTTTAATGTCAAAGAAACTTAGGGTAGAATCTTTATGTGACAGAGCCTGCCTTCCATGTTTACATAAAATTAAGCAAGCAGCATAAAGATGAAAGGACTCCTGATACACTTTACAATCTGTGTGTACCCTAGCACATGAATTTATTACTCTCTTTTCCTCAATGAATCGTAGCAGAAACTTCACAAGAGCAGTTAAAAGCACATGGAACTTTTCTACCCATTCAGAATTCTATTTCATTTGACTATGACTGAAATGGAATTTCACATAAGAATCTACCTGATGTAATTGATGGCTGGAGCTAGACACCTAAAAGAAACTTCTGCTCCCTTTACTTGAAATGTGATCTCTAGATACTGGCAATAAAGATGATTCTTACAAATCATATATACTAGAACAATCTCAGAGTGGCAGTAAATTAAAAAACACACGCGCACACACACACCAGGAACAATCTCAAAGTAGCAGTAAATGTAGGATGATAAATTCCTTGAAATTTACAGAAGGCTCCAAACTAAGTCATAATAGTGTTTCCATAAGAGTCTAATATTTTTGGCAAAGGGAGCACCAAACTCTGGTTTCTTATAATTTGGTAACATTTATTTGGACCTTACCTACCCTCTTTTCTCCCTTTATTTTCCTCATTCTTCTAAGGTGGCAAATTGCTCCTTCTTTTCTTCTCTTTTCTGACGTACCTTTAATTTCTTAAACTACAACTAGCAGATGGGTGTATAAAGGTCTGAGCAAAAAGCTTGGCTCAATCACTGTTAGCTCATGTCATTAGCTATGGTCACCAGTTGGTATCTTCTTGCTAACTTGTAACACATGATGTTGTACAGAGGGTACTTTAAGGAACTGCTTGTGGAATATTTGTAGTCATTCACTCAACACCTGGTTAGTGCTTAAATGTGTTAGCCTGTGTTCCAGGGTCTGGGGATACAACAAAGTTTGTGTAAACAAGACAAAGTCCTGGCCTTCATGGAGATTATTCTAGTGGGGGATACAGACCAAAAATGTGTAACTAAACAATATCGTTTCTGGTGGTGTTGAGTGATACGAAGAAAAAGGGAAAAGAGTAAGGGATCAGGGAGTAATTGTGATAATGAGAAGGTGGCTATTTTAGATATAGTAGTCAGGGAGCCCCTTTGAGGAGGTGACACTGTTGTGACGTGAGGGAGGAAGCTGTTTGAAGATCTGTGGGAAGGAGATTCCAGGTACAAACAAAAGCCCCGAGTGAGGAATGAGTCTGGCAAGTGACAGAACAGCAGAGAGGCCTGCATGCCCTAGATGAAGGGCGTTGAAGGGGAGAGGGATAACAGGCAAGGTCGGAGAGCTGGGCAAGGTGATCATGTGGACCATCTAGCTGATGATACGGAATTCTTATTTTGTGCTAAGTGTGATGGGAAACCCTTAGAGGCAAAGGAGTGACATAATCTTATTTCCCTTTTAAAAATATCACCCTGGCTTCTGTGTGGAAAATAGACTCTATAGGGGCAAAACGGGAAAACAGGAAGGCCAGTGGAGAAGATATTGGAGTTGTTCAGGCAAAATTCTTGGAGGCTGTAAGAAGTGGTTTGGTGTGGGGTATTATCTGAGCATCAGGTTTGTCAATGGTTTGGATGCTCCTTCCATGATAGCAGTTGGCAGCCTAGAAACACATTATGGAAAGACGAAAACTTCTTGCACTTTAGAAAACTTTTTAAAGATCCTCTGGCCAGTGAGAGGCTTGACAGAGTAGGGACAAATATTCTGTGGCTGTGTTTCAATTTGGGACCACCATTTGGATTGAGTTATTTAGTAAGAGAGACACATGGTTCCTTTTATACTCAATGTACACACACACACAATAATTGGAAGAAGTTAGAGATATATATTGAGTTAGGAAATTGACCAAGAGCCCACTGGTTCTTACTAGAACTGAACCTGGATTAACCTCATGGACCATCTAAAATAAGAAGCTGAGCTACCCAGTCATGGTGTAAAGGAAAGTATAATGGTACCGAGGGCAATTTCTCATCCATATTTTAGTTCCAGGCTTATACCATGAACAGCATCATGAATGTATGCAGAATACGTAACTTCTAAATCTGTGATCATAAAATTCACATCTCAGCACTAATTTGGGGGATATGTTTTTCTGAGAGAGACAGACAGAGAGACAGTGAAAGAAAGATTCCTTTTTACAGACAGGCAAAATGCGAGTAACATGGATAAAAATATGCTGTGTCATTTTGCTAATCTGTTAGAAAGCAGACCTTGCTGTCTTTCATCATGTGCCTTCATGAATCATTTTAGATCATGTTTGTCAGTTTCTAATCTATGAAATTCCTGTATTTCAGGGTCCATCTGGATTGAAAGGAGAGAAAGGCGATAGAGTATGTATTTCTTAAAATTTGATTTATGTTTATTTTGTGTGTTAAACATTGAAGTCTGAAACTATAGAAATAATATACTAATGATTCTCATTGATTTAATTAACAAGGGAGACATTGCTTCCCAGAACATGATGCGAGCAGTTGCAAGACAAGTCTGTGAACAATTGATAAGTGGTAAAACTTCTTTTATTTTTAATGTATGAATGGTTTTTAAGTTTATTGCAGGAAAATGCAGAGTTTGAGTCATAAAGTTTCTAAGATACATGTTTCAATTTCATTTTGATGATCTCGTATTTTTATTCATTCTCAGTTTTGGATCTGGTTAGATAAAACTAGTGATATTTTAATGACTGTTTCATTAACATAAAATAAGAACCCAAGGTAAAATAATAACTTGTTATCCTATACTTAATCTGATGCAAAATCATTGAAAGGGCTTTTCAATTTCCTTATTAGGATTTTCAGTGATCTTCATCTGGGTATATGTAGAAGCAGCAAATGTTGGATTTTTAAAGTTTTAAACTTTAAGTTATTCTATGACTTTAAGGAAGGAGGCCCATCAAGATTAATTTGATCATAGAAAGTACATTTTGATGGGGACGTTTTTATTTCCCTCCTTATTTTTTTGAGACTCTTTCTTCTTATCCTATGAAGTCTACCAAGTAATAAAGTTCAATGCCCACAAACCGAGTATGGCCTTAAACTCAAGGTTCCCTATTTCAGAAATCTTAACAGTGTTTCTTCAAGTGTGATCCTGAGGAACACCTGCATTAGAATCACCTTGTTAAAAATGAGGGTTCCTGGGCCACACCCCAAACATAGCCAATCCCTGTCTTTGGAGATGAGGCCCAGAAATCTGTATTTTTCAAAGGATCCCACAGGTGATTCTAATTGGCACTACAGCCTGATTATCATTCTTAGGTACACACAAAAATAGTATACTTTCTTAATTTAAGAAAGGTTCTCTTTTGAGTGGCATCATCTGGCAAAACATAAGGCTTTATATCAGAGCCATATTAAACTTTTACAACTCTTTTATGGTTGATAGTAATGCTGTGGCTTACTGGTCAGTATTTTGTGGAGACAATTGTTTATCAGGGATCATTTTATCCTGGACGGCTGGAGTGTTTTATTTTTAGGCTTCTAATTAGAATGTGTCCTAGAGGGGGAGGAATAGAGATGGATTGCACTAGGCACTAAGAGAAAAGAGTTTCACCATCTCATCCCTTCCCTACTGGGTTTCTTACTAACAAGTCTTCTTTCTGTTTGTAGGTCAGATGAGCAGATTCAATCAGATGCTGAATCAGATTCCAAATGACTATCACTCCAATCGCAACCAACCAGGCCCACCGGGTCCCCCAGGCCCCCCTGGCAGCGCGGGGGCCAGAGGAGAACCAGGACCTGGTGGGCGACCAGGCTTCCCTGGCACACCAGGGATGCAGGGACCCCCAGGTGAACGAGGTGGGTTTCTCTGGCTGCTACGCAGGGATAAAGAAAGTTTGCAAGTGTGGGATCTGGGTCAGGTTGAAAAGCACGTGGAAGACTGAACTTGGCAACTGCTTTAACTATTCTTGTTTGGACAGCCCCAGAAGAGCTGTGTGTCCATGAACCTGTCTTTTCATTCAGGCAGCCCCAGGCCATCGAGATCTGTATCAAAGAACACAGGAAGATTTTGTCAGGAGATCTCAGTAAAGATAATGCTATATTCTGATGGTTGTTGTCATTGTTGATGGAAGAAACTGTATTTTGGCAAACTGGGACGCTAAAATCTGATTAATTATTGTGACTGGAAGGAGTTGGGCACCAACTGAATGTACTTAAGCAGCCCTACAGTTTTAGATCCAAATTCTTTTGGTTCCTTTATTCAGGGCCTGGCACTGGCCTTACGTGTTTGTTTGGCTTTAATTTCATGGTAGATAAGTGTCATTGAAGGAAAAGAAGAAAAACAGGATTATTTGATTCCAGATGTTTCAGGACTCTGGGTGTTCGCTTTGGTCAAAGCAGCAGCTAGTATTCTGGAGAAGACTTAGATACTTCGGTAATTCTGACGGTTTGGTTGTTGTGCAATGGGGCTACCAAAGATAAGATACCTTTAAGATGTTTCTCAGTGAGTTGTAACTATTTATTCAAGATTCCTGTTCTAAATTACTGTTTCTAAAAAGAATATATTTGACATGTTTGTTTTCTTCAAATAATTTTTCCCCTGACTTGTAGCCAGATTTGTTTCTTTGCCATGAATCTGGAATTACCCAAATGTCTAGAAAGAATTTGGCTTCAAGAGTGAACTTCTGTGAAAAATTAGGTTCTGCTTTCACTAAAACAAGTGAATTACTTGAATTAAGCATTATCAGTTAAGATGAAAACTATGTGTTTCCCGATAATTTTCTCCTTGTGCTTTCTCTTTTTGTCCTCGCTTAGGGTTGCCGGGAGAGAAAGGTGAAAGGGGTATTGGGTCTGCAGGACCTCGAGGGCTGCCTGGCCCCCCAGGTACGTTTGCCCGGACATCAAATAAGTAAACAGCAGAAACACTGGGAGAGCATACAGCCCCGAGATTCACCATCTAATCCTCTGAGCTTCAGGCAGGCCTGCCACCACGAATATATTTTAGCAAGAAGTTCAGTTTGTATAACCTTCTCACTTTTATGTTCTCTTTGTTCAAAAACCTATTTGACTGTGTTCCATTAAGCATTTACTATAACTTTAATATAAGAGGGTAAGAGTTTTAGTGACACAGAGGGTTTCTGTTTTCGTTTTTATGGAATTCCTATTTGTTTTGTTTGGCCACATAGCCTTTAAGGATGGTGTTATTTCCTGTTTCTTCTCGTATTCTTCAAGATGTTGCTAGCAGACCGAGAAAATAATATTCTCACTAAAAAGCCTGACACATTGCAAGATTTCATTCACAGTTTCTTTATTGATGTTTTGGAAAGAAATAATAGTCGTCTCGTTGTTTTATGCATTTCATTTCCTAAACTGAAAATGGATTTTTGTTTTTCTTCGTTGTAAGGTCCACGAGACCCTTGTAACCAAGGTTAGCCCTGGTGGTTAAATCTTTACATTTATGTTAACCATAAATAAGTATAACTTGATCCAGAAATAACATCCCTTTGCATAGTCTGGAAGTGTGAAGCAGGCGCTCCCATGTTTTCCTGGTAGTCTGATGTGGCTAATATAGCCATTTTCTTCAGAGAGTTTTATCTCTGTAAGAGTGGAAGCCATTTGGGGAACTCATTGATATCTTTAGTTTGGCTTAATTCTCTGTAAGTCAGTTTTCTTTGGATAAAATCGTTAAAGTAGTTCTATCTCTGTCATTAACTCTCGATGGATCACTGGTAAGAAAGTTCCACACTTTAGTTCATACTGGTGATCTCTTAAGGAAATATTTTTTTCTGTACCCTAGTGCATCATCTAGTCTTGAAAATTGTTGATTGCCTCAGGAGATGTATTTAACAAAAGGGGAAATCTTTGTTTTAACCCCATACTAGGTCCACAAGGAGAATCCAGAACGGGTCCACCAGGGTCCACAGGATCAAGAGGTCCCCCTGGCCCCCCGGGTCGTCCTGGAAACTCAGGTATCCAAGGCCCCCCAGGTCCTCCTGGATACTGTGACTCGTCCCAGTGTGCCAGCATCCCATACAATGGGCAAGGCTATCCAGGTATGTTGTTGCCCGTGTAGGAACCCAAATTCACCTGAATTAAGAACGTTTATGGCAATCAAGTTCCCTAGGATTGAAGGAAGGTTGATTTGGGGATTTCTTGAAGATATCAACTCTTTCAGTTACGTGTTTTGATTATGTAGTAACATTGTTTTCTCTCAAAGCGTAAAATATTACTTCATTGTTAGGAGTTAAATAATTATTTGCTTTTCCTTCCTGTATTTCTACATTTGCCAAATCACATTGTAAACCTCTCCTTAATTTCTTTTGGAAGTTCAGAGAATGCAATCAAATGACTTTTTTTTTTTTTTAAACCTAAAGATTGGGAACAGGGATTTGTTGAATATAATTGTAGAATGTCAAGAGTACATACAAAAAATTGTTTGGAGAATCTAATATTTAGGCAAACTACTTGATAACATGGTGCAGACAACTGAAAATAATTCACTGTCTCACGCTGTCCATAGTATTAACGGCCATGAAATCTGGGACTTGATTTTTTCAAAGAATTGGTAGGGCAAATCTAGTGTTTGACCATTATTGAGGCCAGGTCTCTTATACCTGCTTTTGGGGATGTGGGGACAGGGGAGATACGTTGATCTGGGAATAAGAAACTCATGCTGTGGTCAGTGGTGACCTTTTCATCAGCGCACCCTCAAGCATCTTGCAAGTTTTAAAAATGATACTGCTGTTTGATATGGTTGGCTACTAGCAAATAGTGCATGAGTAGTTGAATATCTAAATATCTATATATCTATATATTTATGTGCATACTTATATATGACCAAAAGTAATAATGAATTTTAATGCCAATTTCTCATGCAACTCGTTCACAAAATTATAATTTACTTCTTTATAAGATAAATTTTAATTACCTCTACCTTATGGTATGTATGAATAACTGGAAATATATGGATATATATATATATATATATTTTAACCATTACATACTTAGATGGATGTGTATATATATTTTTTGCATAGTAATTCAACTTTTAAAAACTATCATCTTTGACCTGTTTCAGGTTCCGGCTAACAAATTTTCTAAGTCGCCAGTGCTGCTTACAGTTTGAATACATGAAAATCCTGTTTCTGAGATGTTTGCGCACGTGCTTATTAGGAAATGAGTCTGTATGGAAATTTCACCACAGATATGGTTAAAGAAGCGGGTGGACATCATAAAGGAGGGTGGAGACTCTTTATACTAACTTGAATGAGACAAAAGCAGTGGTGTTAGTTTATAAGCCTGATGCCTTTCAGTAATAATGTAGAAAAATATTATTAAAAAAAAAAGTGCAAACCCACAACCATGAGGAGCCTCAGTCGTGAAAGAGGCGCATAATAAAACTACTAACCAGCGGAGGTCATGCCATTTTGAGAAAAACAATTAACCTGGTTAAAGAGAAATGTCTTATGTAAATAATAAACTAATTGTGGCTTGTAAATGATTTGTATGTGATCCTGTCCACTAAAATCACTTAACAATTCTACAGTAAGCTTCTGCATCAAAGCCTGCTGCTTGCTCTGTGCCGGAATAACACCGAATGGAATCTCCTCATCTCTTGCTTGTTAGCGATGTGTCTGATTCAGGGCATGTGTCTTATTATTCTTATTTTTTGTACATGTACTCTCATTTGGGTTTTGTAATTGCAAGTTTCAAACCAAAGTTTTACAATCACTTTTTTTTTTTGCTTCCTGTTTCGCTGTAGTCACTGGGGTTCCTTTACCCACCGAACTGTAACTCAGTCTGTGGGAGAGACAGCCACAGAAAATGTCCTGTACTGTATATTACCTGGTGATAGTTGAATTTCACCTCCACAGTTCAGTTTCTAGGAGCCAATAACACTTCCCTTTATCTCCTCATCTTTCCAAATTGTTCTCTGAATTGAGGAGTTTGAACTCATGAACAGTGGCTTGGGGATTCGCGAAAATCTTACCTAGGTTTCTGCGTTTACAGTTCTTTGGCGCAGCCTCTGACCGTTCCCAGGTACTTGTGCAATGATTGTATGTGCTGCTGGATCCTTGAAGGTTAAAAAAAAGAAGTGCCATTTTTATTATTTGATCATCACCAAATTCTCTCTGCAAATGGACGTAATCAGAACATTGTAACTTATCTGTTTATAGTGATGAGATTAAGACTGGAGTGCCATCACCTCGGGTGATGATTTAGCTTTTGCTGTGTGTGTGCCTTCCAAATCATGCCATAACTGTAATGTTGAATCGGACAGAGCCGTACGTGCCCGAGGGCGGGGCCTACCTGCCCGAGCGCGAGCCCTTCATCGTGCCGGTGGAGCCCGAGCGGACAGCCGATGAGTACGAGGACTACGGCGCCGATGAGCCTGGCGACGAGCAGCCTCCCCACGGGCGCTGGCGGCGCGCCCTGCCCCGCAGTCCGGGGCAGTGAACCTGAGACCGCGCGCGCAGCGCTGCCACGCTGGGGGGAGGTGTTGGGATTTTCATTGACAGGTCAGACAGCAGTGTACGTCTTATCTGCGATGTTTCTTCCGGCGTTGCTTCATCCAAGAGTATGCTTTCTGACTGTAGAGAACCTTGTTTCTGCAGGAAACCTAGCTCGCTGCACGCAGTCTTGTAGACATTTTTGCCTTTGCCCTTGAAATGCTTGCAAAATACTTTGCTCGCAAAAGCTGCAAGGAGAGAACGTGCCTTGTGCCTTTAGTTAGCACAAAAGGCAGCCTCAGTGAAACTCTTAGGTTAAGCAGTAAGTCCTGGAACCCAGAACGACTGTGTATTTCGAGAGGGCAGTTCATCTTTTCCACTACTTGTTTGCAATTCAGTTACACCACGATTCAAGTAATTCCCCTCCTCAAACGGAAAAGGAGGAAAAAAACCCAACTCCATTGCAATTATTTATCTTCCTCTTCTATCTTCTGTTATATGTTAGGGCATAGAATGCTCTTATACATCTCCTTTAACAACCACAAACTTTAAGCCATGTAGCTGAAATTATTGTATCAACTGGATACAGTTCCATATTGCCTTAAACCTCCTTGTTTTAGACACACTAACATTTATGCCAAATTGCAGATTATTCTGCAAAGATGGAATTGCATGTTTGTGTTGTATATTTAGTATGAACTTTTTTTTTTCAGAACATGTTTCTTAGTTATCAAAAGCAGTTGGAAAATGTTTGCAAGACTATGAATATAGAATTGCTGCTTTTATATTTTAACTGCAGATTGTGAATTTCACTGCCTTATATTATTTATTTCTGAAACAAAAGAGGCATTTTTCAATAAAACTACTGAAAATTTGACATGGTATGTTTTTTCTTTGAATGGCCTTTTGGAGTGTTCAGGCGGTTGTCACAACAAACAAGTTTATATCCTTGGATATGGTTACAAATCTTGCTAATATTATTAAATTATGCTAAATAACTTTAGATTTTTAATGATACAGTGAAGTCATAGAGAATGTTGAGAGCCTTAAAAAGCTCAGCAGATTCCAAAGGCTTTATTGGGAATCTAGAGGATGTGTGGGTTGGTGGAAAAACAACGAGGTATCCTAGGAGACCACAAACAACCAACTAATCTTTAACAACCCACATGATTTTGATTTAATCACCTTCCTATACCATATTTTACCCAATAACATGTTTAATGCAAAAAGGAAAATTCCTTAATGGAAATTTTTACATTTAGTTTTAAAAATTTTCTAAATGTAAAAATTTCCTTTTGCACTTTGATGAATTCAGTAACTTCATTCTAAATAGCAAAGAAAACAATGTAAATGCTGGTTTGAAAGAAACAACATCAATCGAAGGAGAGAGGTAGTGATAAAAAATTTGCTTCAGAGCAAAACATCTGAGTTAAATACTTCCCGGAGATCAAGATCAAAAGGAAACGACAATAAATGAATGCATTGTGTTCAGGAGGTTTCCAGCAGATAGTGCTAAAGTCATAGCATTCCCCTGTAATTCCCCAGTACCTACATTTAAAAAAATTTTTTTGTTATTATGTTCAATTAGCCAGCATATAGTACATCATTAGTTTTTAATGTAGTGTTCAACGATTCATTAGTTGCGTATAACACCCAGTGCTCATCACCACACATGCCCTCCTTAATACCCATCACCCAGTTACCCCACACCCCCCTCCCTTCTGTAACTTACATTTTTAAAGTTAGAAGAGACCACTGAGATCATCCCAGTTCAATTTTTTGCTTTATGGAGAAGGAAACAAACTCAGCTAATTAGTATCAGAACAAGACTAGGACTCTAGGTCTTGTGGTTCTTAACCCAGTTTTATTACGAAGTACTCCCCCCTCTCCCCTCCTGGGAACACGTACTCTCCGGGCAGGAGCTTTCAACCCTTACAGTTCTATGAATTTATTCTGATTAATTTTCTGATTCACTTGCGTTTCTGATGCTTCTTAATAAAGAGCCTTTGTATCAGGAGACTGAAGACAGGTTCAGTTCCTTGTCACTGACCCAGCTGAGTACCAAGACCACATGAGTTTGGGGCACAAAGGAATTCCATCTTCTCTCACTGGCTCGATGTGGGTTTGATTTTTTTTTTTTTTAAGATTTTATTTATTTATTTGACACAGAGAGAGACACAGCGAGAGAGGGAACACAAGCAGGGGGAGTGGGAGAGGGAGAAGCAAGCTTCCCGCGGAGCAGGGAGCCGGATGCGGGCCTCGACCCCAGGACTCTGGGATCACAATCTGGGATCACGACCTGAGCCGAAGGCAGATGCCCCTTTGGGTTTGATTCTTGACATCAGCGATGCCCTGAATTAACTACCTGCTAGTCTGTGCTGGGAAAAGGGATGAGGGGCCAAGGGTTCTAACTAGGGCATAAGCACAAAATTAATATCTAGTGGAGCTACATGTTGTGATTTTTATTTTCATAGTATATTTGCTCCTTAGGTTTGGTAAATCTTTTTTTTTTTTTTTTTTTTATTTGACAGAGAGAGACACAGCGAGAGAGGGAACACCAGCAGGGGGAGTGGGAGAAGGAGAAGCAGGCTTCCCGCTGAGCAGGGAGCCCGATGCGGGGCTCGATCCCAGGACCCTGGGATCATGACCTGAGCCGAAGGCAGACGCTTAACGACTGAGCCACCCAGGCGCCCCTAGGTTTGGTAAATCTTATGTTAAAATTATTTCTGTAATACCTGATCGAGTGGATACAGACAAGTGATAGGGAGAAGAGGCCAGGTATCCCGGGTTTAAAAACTAATGGTAAAACCCCGCAAAATCAAACATGTGAATGCTGGTTTATTTATTCAAACTTACTTTGGAGGAAACATAGCACAACCTGAAACACTTTCTAGCTCTTTAAATTTGAAAGTGTTATAAGAAATTCATTTTCTATCATTTATATTAGCAGCTAGGGCTCTTATTTTTAAGAAACTAGTCTGAAAGGTCGGAAGGGATTGTAGCTTCGAATGAGGTCTACTGTGGGAGATATTTCAAAAATTTAAAAACAGCACATACATAGATACTAATTTCTGAGCATTCTTATAAGAATATTTTGTACAGTGGGATTAACAATTTTTTAAGTAAGTTTAACAGGTGGCTGCATGTATATTTTCTCAGATTCGTGAGCATCTGTTTTTGAGTCTGTAAAGAATTATGCTACCTATGGGGTTGCTCAAGCTTGCATTTAATTTTTGTACAAATAAGGTGAATGTAATTGTTCCCAAGTATTTACTATATTTTACATATATTGTACTGTATTTGGCACATTAGGTTATGTCCTCATTTAGTTTTTTGTCATAATTTCTCCATAATTAAAGGGGCTTGATCATACTACCCTCATATGGTTTGAGTGCCTTATAAAGAGTAGCCACTTGGGGCACCTGGGTGGCTCAGTTGTTAAGCGTCTGCCTTCGGCTCAGGTTGTGGTCCCGGGGTCCCGGGGTCCTGGGGTCCTGGGATCGAGCCCCACATCGGGCTCCCTGCTTTGCGGGAAACCTGCTTCTCCCTCTCCCACTCCCTCTGCTTGTGTTCCCTCTCTCTCTGTCAAATAAATAAAAAAAATAAAAAAAATAAGAGTAGCCACTTATATAAAGAACAGCTGTGGTAAATCTTTTATTTTCAAAGGCAATCTTTTAAATACAAATTAACATTGATTCCTAAGTTTCTCTATACTTGAGGTTAGAAGATGAATTTAAATGTGAATGTCTAAATGAACATTTATTAACTTTTTCACTCTTAGATCTGGCTGCTGAAGTCTATTGGAAAAATCACATGGACTTGCTTTCAGGGAATGACCTACACGTGGTCACTTACAGACTGTCTCCCATGCTGATGTCTTACCTGGTTCTTTATCAGTACATCCAGCAGTATATCCCTCCTTGAAGTTCTACAGACAACTCAAAATTAACACATTTGATATTTACTAGGATTAGAATTCAGCTGTGACTAACAGAAAGTCACAAAATAGCAGTAGCCTAAACAAGTAGCAATTTCTTTATTTCTCATGTTTAAAAAGCCAAAGACCCAGGCTCTTGCTATCTTGCTGCTCCTCTCTTTGTGGTTTCCATGGCCCAGTTAAACAGATAATCCAAGATTGTTAATCGAACTCTGGCTATGGTGTCCATATTCCCCTGCAGGAAGGAGAAAGGATGGAAAAAACCCCCCGCCCTTCCATTTAAGTACACCTCCTGGAAGTTGTAAACATAACTAATAATAACAAATTTATATTCCATACCATTAGCCAGAATCTAGTCATTTGATCATATCTAGCTCTAAGTGTGAAATTTTACCTTTATTTTGGGTGACCATGTGCCAAACTAAAACCAGATACTCTATTACTGTGTAAGAGGGGAAAGGAATACGGGGGGTCAGCTCAAGGCTTCAGTCTTTGACACAGTGTCCAAATCTCAACGTCTCTCCATAAATCTAATTTCTTCCATTGTCTGCCCACCCCCCCCAACTCTCCTATCGTCAAGTTCCTCACGCCAGAAATTTGAGAATGACCTTAAATTCTTCCTTCCTTCATTTCTCACATCTAATCAGTGAAGACTAGCTGAGTGAACTCCTACATATATCTGAATCACCCTCATGACTCAATTGTTACTACTCAATTTTAGACCCTTGGGATTTCTTGTCATGACTATAATAAATGGTCTCTTAAAGGGTCTCTTTTCCTGTAGATTTGGCCCCCGTCAAATAAGTCTTCAGATTCCAGAGTGATTCAGCATGTTGGAGATGGAGACCCAAGAATATGTATATTTTATTTTATTTTATTTATTTTTATTTTTATTTTTTTTAAAGATTTTATTTATTTATTTGACAGAGAGAGACACAGCGGGAGAGGGAACACAAGCAGGGGGAGTGGGAGAGGGAGAAGCAGGCTTCCCGCTGAGCAGGGAGCCCGATGTGGGGCTCGATCCCAGGACCCTGGGATCATGACCTGAGCCGAAGGCAGATGCTTAACGACTGAGCCACCCAGGCACCCCAAGAATATGTATATTTTAAATATATTCTTCAGGTGAGTCATAATGATCAGCCAGAATGGGAAACTTTTACACCTCTGTGTTTGGCTTTCGATATACTTTTTATGCCAAAACTATATTTCTGGCCCAGTCCTTTCTTTTGATCCTTTAGGCACATATCCACCTGCCTTGATACATCTCCAGTTGGACATATTACAGGCATTTCAAATTCAGTATGAACAAAGTGAAATCCCTCACCCCTTGGTCCTCCCCAGTTTTTTTTTTAAAGACAAGGTTCTTGTCTTTGTGAGTGATAACTCTCTCAATTGCTTAACTTAGAAACCTGATAATTAACATGACTTTTCCTTCCCTCACCTCCTACGTCCCATCAATCACTAAATCCTTTTGATTCTCTCTCCTAAGCATCTTTCAACTGTTTACCTCTCCCATATCCCCACTGCCATTCTTTCCCTCTAGAACCCATTGACTGGTCTGGATTCCCCAGAAGTCGTCTATCTGGTCTCTTTCCAGACACTCTTTCTTCACTCCAATCCATTTTTCTTACAGCTTAGCCAGCCAAAATTTGTTAAAAATGTAAATCTGTTCACATCACTAAATTTCTTAAAAATTTTTAGTGGTGTCAAGTTCAGAAACCTTATCATACTCATTAGTCATTAAGGACTTCCTTAAGCTCTTCCTACTTTTTGACATCCTGATACCTCACTTATCTCATTTGATTTTCTCCAACTACGCTGGACTCCTGCCCTGCCCTTCCATTATTTTGAACTTTTACAGGTGCTATTTCCTTTCCCTGGAACATGCTATATTCATTTGGTCACATCTTATTAATCCTTTAATTTGATGCTGAAATAAT